TGTCTTCTACAAGAAAACAACCCTTCATTTGTTTTCATGTCAAATACACACATCCAAAGTTCTATACCATTTGTAAGATATTCGCAGTATTGTGTATGGTTATTGCTACCTATTTTTAAGTTTTAATGACGTTTATAATTTTTAAGGTAGAAATTCGGACATACTTTTAATCTATAAATTTGGTAGATTTTTGGTGGAGAATTAAACGTTCTACAAAAAAATATCCTCAAGTCAAAGTTTTGTTGATATTTTTTTTTAAATTTATTTAACTTGTAGAATATTTGGGATTTAAAAATTAGTGGTGCATATTTTTGTTGAAAAATAAATGTGAGCGTTAGTATATCCCGTATGGTCTGGTTTTTGAATAAAATACTTGGTTTTATTTTTTAAATTTGTTTATTTTTTAAATTTTAATTAAAGTAGGTGCTCAATGGTGGCCTTCGACTTCAATGCATTTATTAATTCGCATTTCGTTTTAATATTCTGCTAACACTGCTCTGGGAACTCTTTTTTTCGGTTGAACACTCCCATTTGTAGTAAACTGCTTGACTGTACGGTGAAATGAAGTACGTGATCGAATTTTATCCGGAAAACGCTGAGCGTAGATATTAACAGCATCATCAAGATTCCTGCCTGCTTCTCCATAAAACAAAATCATTTCTATTTTTTCTTCCACTGTTAAAAAATCCAATATGAATAACTGCTTAACGAAAGGAGGTCTTTTTGTTTGCAAATTAATCTTTGAACTAAATTGATTAAATAATGCTAAACTATAAATAGTTTCTTTATACCTCAATAATAATTATTATTTATAACTAAATACCATTTTTTATACCTCAATTAGGATTAAATTAAATAATTGACAAAATAGTGTTTTTTTACCTTAAATGAGGTATTTTTATTAAAAATAGTACAAAAATCCTTTAAATTACAGGATTTAATGCTGGCAGGTAAAAAGTGACCATGGTGCGCAATTGATAATTATCACCGAATGAAATAATGTATAAAAATTAAACCAAAGGAAACTTAAATATTAGTAAAAAAAATCGTGGGTACTTTATTTGAAACATTTTTTCGTAAAATGCATAGGTACTAACTGAGATATTTCATGTTTCAAGTGAATGTCTACCTTAATTAGACGATATCTTCTCAAGAAGAAATAAGGTGATTGTTTGATTAAGAAACTTCCGGGATATAAATAAATACAATGTATGAAACTGTTGGATGAACATTAATAAGTTAAGAATTTCAGGGTTTTCTCTTAACAAGTCGAATTTATATCAAATTTGTAATTGTTTGGGATTCCTGTTGTGTTTTGGAAACGTAATTATAAGTTTTGGAACCCAAATATTCGCTATTTATTATTTTCCAAATACTTCTTCTGGTACATACCTAATTAAATTTTATACTCCTTTCAATGGATTTAAATTTTTGTACTAAAAAAATATTTACTATCTTAAAACTTAATGTGCATTACGAGGTGTGTTCAGAAAATAACGGGAATTGTTAAATTTCGCGGGTTCGGAGGGTCCGATTGTCATAAAATTTTCTTTATTATGTTGGTATACATGCCCCCGAAGTATGATAAAAAGTTTAGCTGTTTTCATTGTTTACTTTGTCTGTGGCAGCCGCTAAGGTTAGACGTGTTTTATGAGCTCGGCGATTTTTCGTTCGTTAAAAGAAATTGATCAAAGAATTTGTATCCAATTTTGCTTAAAAAATGAAATGAATTCTGTGAAATGTTAACAAAGGCCTATAGTGAGTCTGCTATAAGAAAACAAGAGTTTACAAGTGGTATAAGAGTTTCCAAGATGGCCGTGAAGACGTTGAAGATGACGAACGCCCCGAACGCACAAGCGCATTAACAACCGATAAAAACATGGAAAAAGTGGAAGAAATAGTTATAAACCATCAGAGAAGTCCCTGATGATGTTGGTATATCGATTGGTTCATCCCATGAAATTTTTTCGAATGTTTTGGGTATGAAACGCGTGGCAGCAAAATTTGTTCCAAAATTGTTAAATTTTGAATAAAATTTTTGGCCAAAAACAATACTGTAATGATGCCCCAGCCTCCATATTCGCCAGACATGCCTCTGTCTGACTTTTTCCTATTCCCAAAAATAAAGAGAACCTCAAAGGGTCGTCGTTTTGCAAGCATAGATGACATTGAAAGCGCATCGCTGAAAGAACTAAAGGCTATCTCAAAGATCGAGTTTTAGAAGTGTTTCGAGTATTGGAAGAAGAGCTGGCACATGTGCATAATATCCTATGGGGACTATTTTGAAGGCGACAACATTAATGTAGACGAATAAATAAATATTTGTTTCAAAAAACGAAAATTTTTGATATTTTCTGAAAACTTCTCTTATACCAGGATTTTGTATTCAAATATGAAATTGTTTGCCTAAATAAATTGCAGCTTAAAGCGTAAAAAAATAAATTACTCATAGGATAATGTGTTGGGTAGGCAAAAAGAACACATCCATTAATTATGTTTAATTATTTGCAAGCGTATTACCCCAAAGCTTCGCAAAGTTTGGAAGGTTTATGTGAAAGTTTGTAAATTAATTGATAAAAAGATTGTAGGGCCTTGAAACCCAAACTTGTCCACTAATCCATTACTTTTGATTAATGATTTTGATCTAAAAATAAACAAAAACATATAAGAGTGAATATATCAAGATGTCCCCCAAGTGAAAATGATTATTTTTTATTTTTGGTTGTTTCACTGTTAGTCTAGAATAGGGTTTTTGGGAAGCCACCAGGTCTAGTAATAACATAACATAAGTGGTTCTGCACTAATGCAAGAATTTTAAGAAATCATACATTTTGAATATTAAAGCTTCACGGAGGTTAGGATTTCGTATGTATGTATATCCCTTTGTATATTTGAAATAAGTTATTGTATATTTTGACACCTCAATATTTTTTAAAAATACAATTGTACATACATAAAATATTTATAAAAAAAACTACTTAGTGACATATTACACTTTACGGTGGATAGGTTTTTAAATAGCAAATAAATTCTAACTGACCTAAACAGAGGTTTTTGCTTATTTAAAATTATGAAAGCGCCATCCGTTGCATAAAATTTAAAGCAAAAACAGATTCATTGAGGATAGAATCAATTTTTGTAACACCTACATAAATGGTTATAAAAATTATTTCTTTTAATTTTTAATAATATTTTATATTTGATTCGATTGCTTTGGATGTGTTTAATTTACTTAGTGAACTGATATGTTTAGTATACTTTTACTACCCCAGATATTTGAAAACATGTAAGTTAACCTAGAACAGTCACGGAGGATAGATTTTAGACTTTTAAAACCTTGTTAAAAATAATAATCTGAGCTTAATTATAAAAGATCAAAACACAATAAAAGTGTAGGTCAAACTCATTTAGTTTTATTAAATATCACGTGGTAACACATTTCGTAAAATTCACCCATACATCATTTTATTTTTATTGTTTTGTGATTTTAGAGTTTCAGTAGAATCTTGGGTTAATACTTTAAAAAATAGGTACCTATGACTTTTTTATTTATTTATTTTTACTTTGAATTTGGATTAAATCCTTTTTGAGTATTTGGAATTATTACTGTTTGCATTAAGTTTAAAATTAAAAACATGTTTCATAAATTTGCCTAAAAAAACATTGTATATGGGTAATTAAATTAAAAGGAAAAGTGTGTTTTGCCAAGTTTAAATTATTTAACATGTATGAAATGGTTTTGATTGTAATACACCTTTTTAGAATCTATTTTTTTTAAACAAGCAGAATTTTATAAGGAATGAATTAATTTTGAAAAACGCATTGATGAACGTCATTTTACTCACTAAATTTAATTAGGCACGAGCGAAGCATTAACAAAATAATCTGTAACCTTTGAAATTTACAAAATTCCTTCAAAATAGCATATTACCTTTACAAAACTTTCGGTAAAATAATTACAAAAAATTATGTTAACGGAAAAAAAAATGTAAACAGTTAAAACTCAAAGTTTTAATAAAAACGTATGTCAATGTCAGAGTGTCATCAATCTTCTTTAATTAAATTTACCTTGGTTTTTTAAGGGATGTCCTGTAATTTGAGTCGGAATTTTAATTAATGTCCCTTTATGGTTTGTAAAATTTAGTCTTGTCTACCAAATTGTGGTTAAATTTAAAAAAATACCAATATTTAGTTTGATAGCTAAAATAATTTACTAATAAAATTTCTTATCTAATTAAGCATTACCAAATATTTTATTGCTTTTCAATCAATTGAATAACCCCATCACACTAAAATTTAATTGTTTTTGATTCATCATTTGATATTTTTAATTAAAATTCAATTAGTAAAAGCAATTAAATCCCTTAAAAAACTCGAATTAACAAAACAAATAAAAACTTTTTGCTGCCTTTTATATCAGGGAAACATTTACTCAGTGATTTCAGCTTTTACCTTGAAAAGTTTTGATCTCTTAACAGATATTTATTAATATAAAAATAAGTTTTAAAGTGAACTGAAGTGGAAAAAGATAATGTAAATCCTTGTATATGATGTGGAAATCTTTTTTTGTTGGCACATATTTTGCTGGCGTCTTTTCAATATCAGTCAGGTTTTCATATGAGAAAACATGTCAAGTAAAAAGAAGACCTATCAAATGTATTTGTAATACCTACATTAAAAGAAATGTAGATGTGTACTTCCAAGGTATTTTGTTTGTTTAACACAATAGTATGTTTTATACATGAGAATATCGGGTATCGATATGGTAATATTCGATAATCCAGGTATATGCAACCTATCAGAGGGAATTTGCCAAATAAACACGTTAATGTTTTTGTATCCCTGGCTTAATAGATATTTTCACTTTAGGTGTCAACAGCAATAATAAAATATTTTGCTACCTTACATTTTAATAAATAAATATATCAAGCTAAATAATATAGGGAGAATGATAGAATTGAAACAAACATGCTTGAATTAAATTCACATTTTTGTTCCAGATTATTAACAATGATACTTTCATGGAGACGGAAATACTCGAGGACCAAGACACTGTTACTATTATGTCAATATTAGTAGTAGGTAAGTAAAAGTTAAAAACAATTATTTTTGGTTGTTTTACTGTTAGTCTTGAATGGGGTTTTTCTGATATTTTGAATATTATAGCTTCACGGAGGTTAGGATTTCGTATGTTTTTTTAAAACATCCCTTTGTATATTTGAAATAAGTTATTGTATCTTTTGACACCTTAATATTTTTTAAAAATACAATTGTACATACATAAAATATTAAAAAAAAATCTACTTACTGAGATATTACACTTCACGGTGGATAGGTTTTTAATTAGCAAATTAATGAACTTATTTATTTCTTTTAATTTTTAATAATATTTTATATTTGATTCGATTACTTTGGATGTGTTTAATTTACTTAGTGAGCTGATATTTTTAGTATGCTTTTACTACCTCAGATATTTGAAAACATATAGGTTAACCTAACATATTAATGTAACACATAGTTAATAATTACCGAAATTAAATAAAAACTATAAACTTCACTTATTAAATACATAGCTTTTCATACAAAAACTAAATGTGTGTTTAAATTATTAATACAAGCACGTCGTTCTAATATGTGGTTTGGATGAAAAATAATATAACAAACTGTAATTAGAAATTTCAACCCTTAAAGCAATTTGCGGTTTTTATACGTATAAATATTTATGAACAAGCCACAACTAGGGTAAAATAGAATTTATTTAACGGCTGTTATCAACTTTAATCTAAAAGTCACTCAAGTTTTTTTACGTTATTTTTTATCCCTATTTATTAAAACGTATCATACACACTAATGAAATATCAAACTCGTGTTACAAACGAGTGTTTTTGAGAATAAAGCCGAAAAATGTTCAAAAATATATTGTTGTGTTGTTGGGTGTATTTCGAGAGGAAATCCTGGGTTGAGTTTTTACCGGTTTTCCAATAAACAGTGTTAATCTGAATGAAGAAATAAATTGCATACAGTCTCTGAGAATATAAATTGTACCTATAAGATACAATAAATACACATTTTAGTAGTGATTAACGTGAAAAGTGTAAACATTTCAATTCAGTAAAAATCGTCTAAATTTAAACAGCATTTAGCATTATTAAAAGCGTTGATTAAGAAAGTCTCCACTCAACGGTAAAATACCATTATATTATGTATTATATATAATATTATGTTGCCATGAATTCGTCGGTATATTTTGTTGTTTAAAATGCAGTTGTCGGCGTTTTTTAGAGAACTCAAACATAAAAATGGTTGATTTTAAGGTTATGTTTGTGCAAAAATTATTTTTTACTAATTTCTTAAAATGTCCAAACTTAAATATAAATTATATTAGGTAAAGTTATCATTAGTTAATTCTGCAGCAACAAATGTACTTACCGAATTGGATCCTTTGGTAAAACATGAAAATGCAACGATTTAGTTCTTGAATTTTATTTACAATTAAAAACGCAATAATTTACCATGATCCCTTTGATAAAATACACACACTAACGTAACTATATAAGCATTTAAGCGTTGAGTTTCTTAATCAATGATAAAAGGAATAATCAATCGAAATCGAGTACAAAAAAAGTTTTTTAATTTTTTTCTTGCAACGTAAAACACAAATAACGTGCTCGATTTAGCTGTGCAATTGAACAAAATTTGTCGAGTAAGACTTCTGCCTTCCTCTATTTTGTAAAAAAACTACCTATGATAAAATCTGCATTTTGTACTTTCAGGGGTCTTCCTGTCCCTCCTCATATTTCTCTCTGTGGCGGGAAACATTCTGGTCTGCGTGGCCATCTACACTGACCGCGGGCTACGCAGGATAGGCAACCTGTTTCTCGCCTCCCTGGCCATCGCTGATTTATTCGTAGCCTCGCTGGTGATGACGTTTGCCGGCGTAAACGATCTCCTAGGCTACTGGATTTTCGGAGCACAATTCTGCGACACTTGGATAGCCTTCGACGTCATGTGTTCGACGGCTAGCATACTCAACCTGTGCGCAATATCTTTGGATAGGTACATTCACATCAAGGACCCCCTGAGGTAAGTTGGCCTAAACCATATTTATGAATTTTATTGTACTATGTTCCACACCTCAAAGTCCCACCACGGTCCGTACGTGGTCACGTGGTGGGACTTTGAGGTGTGGAGCATATGATATATACTTATATACCACAAGGTTTAAGCTGATCTATAAAGTAGTATTAAGGAAAAAATATCTGACATTTTATTAAAAAAAATTAAATGATTTTATGGACTTTTGAATTTTAAACTCAGTTTCTGTATATGCAATGCTGCTCAATCGGGATTGCATTCCACGGCTTGTCGATTGGATATGAAATGCACAAAATCGATTATATGAGTAATTCCAATAAGCTTTTGTAATTTAGTAATTATGGAATGCAATGAATACTCCCCTCATCGCGCAAAGGGGCCGAATAACCATACAAATAACTCTACAAGTTGAAATTTTGGTGTTCAAACAAGATTTTCAATTAAGTGAATGCACATTACATGCTTTTGGTTTATTTTTGCTGTGTACACAATGTGTACTACACATACTCAAATAATGGCAGTAGCGACTCGTCAAGGTAGGCCTTTTGGGCGTCGCCTCACCCTTAAAACTTATTGAACACTTAAGAAATATTATTTATTTAAAATTTATTTATTGGACATTTTATATAGTAATTGGACACATGGACATAGTTATTGGACATACAATTTTTATATAAACATAACAACTTTACATCAAACAGCATAAATTCTTAAATATTTTTTAAAGATACAGTGCTGTTTTAGTTATTTATTTTTTATTTCGTTTTTATAAATATTATATACTAATTCCTTAGTCTGACTTCTGAAATAGTTTGTTGCAAATATTATTAAGAGTGGTATCTCTAGTTTGTGAAGCATTTATAATGTTTAGGCCCGAACAGGATGATTTATATTATCTAATATTTTTTCGGGTGGTATGTTAAAAGTACTTTCCGAATTTATTAATTTTGTTGCCATTAGTTTTTTATGTTCTCTATCATGCACTGTATTTAAATTACTGTTATTCTGCAAGATGTCCTGTGACGAAGAAATCACTATATTACTTACTCTCCAAAAATGAATTAGTCAAAAATGTCATAGCGAAAAAGCAGCCACTAATAATTCTCGTCAACAGCAAATTGTATCCAGAACATTTAGCAGTCAATTCCTATGAAATATTATTCGCTAAATCCGAAAATGTCGTCAAAAGTTATAAAAGTAGAACAGTTTTTGAAATATAATCAATTTTACATATAATATGAAATTGACTATATCTCAAAAACTGCCTTATTTTTGTAGTTTTTGACGGTCTTCTCGGAATCAGGGGACAATTTGTACATAAGAATTACTTTATATGTGTATATACAAAAATTGTTTTTGGTGGTTACTTAACATAATTTTAAAGTTACATATTTGCTTTAGTCCTCCAGAAATCTAATACAGAAATAAAACATTTGAATGATATTAAATGTATATTTTACACCCTAGATAATAAAACTTAATAAGAAAGTTTATTGCTTTTGTATGATGATGCTCTTTAATCTTGTCTTTTTACTGTGTTGTTTGTATAGGGCAGAAAAAATTTACCACTTTAGACGATTGGGTAAAATTAGACCTCATTAAAATAACTGTTGATTAAATTTAATTAAGAAGGTTATTTAGACTAAGACTAATTTTTTTTACTTAAAAAGTAATGGTAAAATTGTTTTATCTAATTTAACGAATTGTTTTTGCAAACAAAAAGTATAGCATTTAATATTTAAATTCAATAATTTTTATATTAACTCAAACAGCTGTGCATTTTCTTGAATTGTGGCATTAAGTACATGGAGTGTTTTAAGTGTCTCGATATCGTGGCGTATTTGCATTTTAAACGAAGAAATTAAGGTAATGTAAATTGAAGAATAATAGCGGAGAACCCAGTTCATATGCAGCTTATGCTGAATTGAGTTTACTATGTTTATTTTAATTAAAATATGGTGACAAGGAATTTTGTGCTTATGCAATTTACCATTACAATGTGGGTAAATTATATTTTTTTATAATAAAATTTACATAGATTTTGAGATTTTTCAGCTATTTGCAAAAACAAAAGTATTTCATTCGTAGCCACTAATATCTATTAAATTAGAAATTTTTTACTAATTCATTTTTAGAGAGTTAATTATAAATATTTTAGATTTTACTTTTTTATTGGTAAAACGGTCTATTTAGAAAATTTAAGCTTTAAAAAAAAATTGGTACCTACAGACCGGACTTTTAGGCATAAAAAAATAAATAAAGGCTCCTAACAGGGCATTCTGAAAAGTAAAATAGGCTTAAAAAGTAAAAAAGGCAATACTAAAAAATTAACGCGTTTTTCTTGTATGTATATATATAAAATATAAATAAAAAATGCATTTTTGTTGTTTTGTAATTTATTTGTATTTATTAAAGGAAAAAGTGTGATATTGCAAAAAACTTTTTTGTACTAAACAATTTTAAATTAAAGACCTTGATTTCTATTGTAATCTTAGTTGAGCGTAGATTAAAATTTATAATCATAATAAACTTTTTCTACTTGTATTATCGTACAGGTTTCTTATAAATATACATTGACAGGGTTTATTTCGTTTTAAATTTAAGCTAACACGAGAAAAACCTTTAGATGGTAGTAAATTTAAATTGGAAATAAATAAAAAAGCCACTCTAACTCTGTTATGCTAATAGTTATTATGCAGTTAAATATTTAGTGGTGGTTATCCGATACAATTAATGTTGATTTATGGCCCCATTTTATACACCAACACAAAGTCCGTTGCAGCCCCGTTTCACATTAATTACACAGTACACAGTACTACTGCCTCAATGCATTACACCTAATTATGTGAAGGGTTGTTAGCTTTGTTAATATTTTATATGCTATAATATTTTTGTTTACTTTATATTGTTATTTAATCTGTATTTAACTCCATACGGTTGGGGCATTACATTACGTAAGCCTCTTATAGGTTCAATAGATGTAATTTCTTGGATTTATTGAAATATCGTTAAATACGGTCTCAAATAAATACCCCTTTAATCTTAGTTTCTGCTGACAATTATGACAGTAAGCTCTAAACGTTTAATTAAACCTAATAGTATGCTTCTTACGTTTTCCATTTGAGTGCAACGTTACATCAGTATACAGGGTGAGTCTTGAAACTTAGGTCTCTTATTTCATAACATTGGATTATCTTAAGTTTTTTTGCTCCAAAGTCAACAATTTCTGTAGTTTTATTAGTCTTAAAGGAAGTAAAACTTCGATTAACACCTAGACCAAACCGCTGGACCTAAAGGGCTGAAATTTTGAAAGTGCATCCCTATAATGACATGGATATCCACAGAAAAACGATTTTTTAAAATTCCATCCCTAAGGGGGTAATTTCGACACTGCAAAATTCAGTTATAATTAATCCCAGCGCATTCGCCATTTTTGAAAATAATATTTCTACTCGTCAAGTAAATTAATTATTAAACTTCATAAAATTGTTATATCATCGTACAACTCATTGTAACTAGTAAACTTGTAGGATACATCCACTTAAAAGTTCCTAGTGCAATTGTAAAAACAACTTTGCTGATGGATTAAAGTTAAACTTTCACACAAATTGCTTTCTTACAGGTTAAAAAACAATAAAATTAAAGAGAATTTATTTGGATATATCCTTTCCGCCCCATTTATTTGCTTGAAATAAAATCAAGCAATTTTTCCTTGGATTTTCCATTAGGATGGAAATAAAAGTAAACATTTACCGAGCACCAAACGTCAAAAATAATTGAAATTAAACATTTCGGCGAAATTATATCGCCTTCAGTAACTGACAGATTTTAAGAAGGTATATGAAAAGAAATTCCATAGACAATAAGTTAATTCTGACAGCAGCATTTTTGGGAGGCGTTAGGTTTATAATCACTAGGGTGATAGGCTCTTAATATTAATATCACAGTTTTCTTTAGTCCTTTATAAAAAATACCATATTTCATTATTAATCAAATCTTTATACACATTTTTGTAGGAAATTCAATTCTCTACTAAAAAGTCTGATGATTACTATAACCATTTAAAAGATTCAAGATAAAAGATAAAATTTATTTAAAAAAAAAATTTTTTTTTACATATTTTGGTAGGAAATTTAACGCTCTACAAAAAAGGTTTTATGAGTTTAATTGATTACTGTAACCGTTGGGAAGATATTCGTTTCCAAACTTTTGATTTATCAAAAAAATTACCTACTCTTAAAACTAATTTGAGTTGTTTTGTTTTCAGATACGGGAGATGGGTCACAAGAAGGGTGGCATTGGGAACAATCGGAACGATATGGCTTCTCGCCGCGCTGATATCGTTCGTGCCGATATCATTGGGCTTGCATCGGCCCGTCCAACCTTTGGTGTACAATGCAGGGGGGCAAAACTACCCAACATGCGCTCTTGATTTGACCCCGACTTATGCGGTGGTCAGCAGCTGCATCTCCTTCTACGTACCCTGCATTGTTATGCTCGGTGAGTACTTTCAAACGACTAGAGACCGGACTTTTATGCTCTTAAAAATCTTATACAGGGTGTCCCAAAAGTCAACGATATCCTTTGGAGGGCTGATAGACCAACTCATGACTAAGCAGAAAATCAAAATATGACCTAGTTTTTGAGATATAGTCATTTTTATGAATTTTGTAAAACTTGACACCTTAGATCAGTTTTTCGAGTGCAACAGCTACAAAATCTACTATTAATTTAATTTTGAATTGTAATTAATAGCAGTCCTATTCAGGGTTACGCAACATAAAATATAATCTAAGAATATAGAATTTTTTAGTTGTGGCACTCAAAATACTGATTTTAGGTGTCAAGTTTCAAAAAATTCATAAAATTGCCAATATCTTAAAAACTAATGATTTTTTACTAAGGTCATGTTTTGATATTCTGATTATTCATGAGCTGACCTCCTCAAAGGATATCGTTGACTTTTAGAACACCCTGTATAAAGACATGAGGGGGGAGAATTGCATGGAATTCGGTCTCCACTAATAATGGAGTTTGCTATGGTCCATTCAAGTCCTAGCTCTCTCGACAGAAATTGTTAATTAAATGGAAACAATACGAATAAAAACCCTTATTCTAAACTTTCTTTATTGCTTTTGTGTTGAATGGATGCAGAAGTCGTTAACGAACCAAAACAAAGGTATACATTTGTATATCGTCACAAGTTTTAAAATATTGTATTGCAATAAATTTTGTAAAGTAAAAATGCAAATAATAGTTATTTATGTCATTAGGTTAAGAAGTAAGGCACTTCTTGGCCGAATGGCATACATTTTATCTTCAAAGCACTTTATATAGGTCAATTTAATTCAACATCAAAGCGGCCTAACCTCACTTTTTTAGAATCCCATTTATTTATTAGCTAAAGATTACATTAAATGTACAATAATTATTGCTTTTAGAAGCAGTAATAGTTTGACAATACCTAGCAACATGATTTAAGTAGAAATGGATTTTTGCTATTACATTGAATTCAATTAATTGTTTAATAAATAGGTAGGTAATTTCAATTTGTTTAGATTTTTATTTAAAAAATAGGTTGTTTGGAATGTTTAAGCTGTGTTTAACATTTAATTTCACTGAAAACTTAAAGCAAATTAAAACTTAAAGATAATTTAAATCGTAGAAAAAGAATCGTGCGTTTTCTTGGTTGCCTAACCTCACTTTTTGTTTTATTATTCATATTTAATTTTAAATTCTTAGAAAAGGATTAATTTGTCAAAACAATACCCCTAGCAAGAAAAAATCGAACTAATTACTTGCCTCATAAAAATTTTTATCGGCCTAGGCCATAACAAGGTATTTCTTTATCGAATGTTGACAACAATAAAGTTTAAATTATAGACCGCGTGGGGATAAAAACCTATATTAACATATTGTGACTGATAAAATACAATTTACAAAATGCAAATATACATATTTATTATTTTATTTGACGGTAGTTGGGATAAGATTGGGGCTTTTAATATCTCCATTTTTACCAGTTGGTGGTCCACGCGGGCAATCTGGCTTTACACAACATCCCCTTCTATCTTTTCTTCTAATGGTTACATTTTCCAAATCCTTACAATCGCACAACCTATAAAAAAAATCAATGGAATATGATTTTCTCATTATGTAGTGATTACTTTTCTCGAGCGGCTTCTTCAGTACTGGTCTTTTTATCCATTAATTGCTCCAAATCATTAACTTCTTGACTGACCAACTGAGCTACTCCTTCAGAGGTATCCACCAAGTTACCATACCCATCTTCCAGCATTTTAACGACTTTATCATACACCTCAATCTGATGTATCATACCTTCCGAAGCGTTGGAATACTAAAACGATTCAATATTTATCGAAATATCATTTCGTGAGTCGTATTTTACCTTTTTCTCTATATTCGCCTTTTCTTCCAGTTCCTCTTTCAGCCTCTGCAGTTCATCCTCTTGTTTTTTGATGATAAAATCGAGTTCATCTTTTTGCTCCTTCAATGTGACCATGTGTTTCAAAATTACATTATTCCATTCCAGTAGTTCTCTGCCCAACTGGCAAGTGTTTTGGCTGTAACATTCCCTTTCCAGATCGCACATTACTTACTCATTTAAAATTTTCCATGATGACACAACAATTTTTAATTGACAAATACAATAACAATTTGACAATTCCAGAAGTGGAACTTTACTGCCGATTTAATACGAGTGTTATATGCAACCCATTATACATTTTAAGATGTGTCTACTGCTACTTAGCAGCAACTAAATAATATTTAAGGTTTCTAGATAGAGACATTAAATTAAGACATCCTGACAAACTTAAAGGTGTTAACATTTCATGCTCAACAGAGTGTTTAGCATTTGTAAGTCGATTAAAATTTTTAATGAACGATGAATGTTAAACTTGATAATAATTAAGTTTTATCCAGTCTAACGTGCTGTTAATTACATTGGCGCCTGCATACAACTATGTCTTAAGAATTTAGACATAATTACATTTTAATTATGAATGTATAACCGCCTTAGGACTGAAGTGTAGACTCCATGATATCATATATCATTAACAGTATGACCTGGTTATTTTACAATCTTACAACTTATATTTTATTAATATTTTAGCAAATTAATGAACTTAAACTTTTGAATTATAAAACAGCAACACTCTCATCTGCATATAAATTCTAACTGACCTTCAGGAATCACATGCATCTATAATGTCGTAAACAGAGGTTTTTGCTTATTTAAAATGATTAAAGCGCCATCCGTTGCTTAAAATTTAAAGAAAAAACAGATTCACGGAGAATAGAATCAATTTTTGTAACACCTACATAAATGGTTATAAAAATTATTTCTTTTAATTTTTAATAATATTTTATATTTTATTCAATTGCTTTGGATGTGTTTAATTTAGTTAGTGAGGAAACAAACAGAATGTAAATCAAACACAAAAGAGCAAACTTTCTGAGTTTATTTGTTTAAAAGGATGAGCGATATTTAAACAGGACATAACTAAAACTAGAACTATTATCTTTAATTACTTCTGCATGAAATAGGTTTACGAATAAATTTAAGCTTACAATATTTTCTCCTAAATAAATATTGTAAGAACGCAAACACATTTTGATTTAATTGGTTTAAATGATGTCCGTTTAAGTAATAATAATAACAATAATATGTAATGTTTATTTATTTAAGGTACATATAAATGAAATTTGAATAGGTGAAAAATGGAAAATAAAACATTTACTTAAAGGATTAATTAAAATTTTGCTTTCAGCCTACAATTGAATTTAATTAAAAATTACCATACAACAAATGCAATCAAGAGAAAAATTACAGCATATTTTTCTCCAAAAATTTTATATTCTTCCATTTTAAACTAGTTTTATGTAAGACAAAAGCAAATTTAGCTTCCAAACAACATTTTTTAATTAGCCAGGTCGATGAAAACGGGTTTTGTAAACTTTTAATTAAAAATCTTGCAAACAAGGACCAAGGACGAAATTCTTTTCTTGAAATTCAAACATCGGAATAATCTCTGTTTACTTTAACGACAAGACGTTCGAAATTACTTTCATAAAAGTTTATCTTTACTGCAATCTCCTGTACACTATCTGATGGTCCTTTATGTGCCTTCTTAATGCGTGGTTTTCAATAAAAAAGAGATTTTTTGATTTTACTCAAACTTTTTTAAACGTCTTCTGAGCCATTACATTTCCTACTTGATTAGATATTTTTTAAAATTATAATACAATTTTTTGTAGAAAACCAGGGTTGAACTTTATTTTAACAAAGAAAAATATAATAAAATTTAAAAAAAAGTTCATTAAAATTTACCACATTTTAATAGAAGTTACATTTTTAAATCTGTTTTACAAACCATATCCATAAAAGAATTATAAACGCATTAAATCCTAAAATCCGCTGGCCAACCACAAACAAATTTGCATGGCGAATGGATTTGATATTAAACAATCGTCATTTGTTCGTTAATTCGTATCCGTAGATTAAAAAATGAAATCATAATATGTGAAACAAAATAATTTTTAAAACATGTTTAGAACATGTTTTTCAACTGTTATATTTCTTCGATCATGAGCTTAATTTTGTCTAAATACGAATAAAGTTTTGTAGAAGACAAAATGATATTGTAACGTTTTTACTGTTCGTAGAGTGAATTATTGATTAACGAACTAAACGATTTATTTTTATAACTTAATTACACTTAAAACACTAAGAAACTATAAAACTAACCAAACACTTAACTTCTAATTATTTATATATCACTAGAGTCTATTTATTTATTTCGTGGCGAGTACCAAAGCTTGACTGAATGCTCCTTGCTGCGTTTTTCATTATATATTCAGTGCCTACGTGCCTTCCCGAATATTCCAGCGGAATGATGAGTCATCGGCGATGAGTCATGATTCCGCTACAATATACTCTTTACCTTGTTTCAGGAATATACTGCAGACTGTACTGCTACGCCCAGAAGCACGTGAAGAACATAAGAGCCATCACCAGACCAATCGATCTTCCGGACGCGACAACGAAGAAAAAGAGTATAAAGCAGAAAAACAAGGCCCTCCACATCCACCTGCACAACCATCACAGCTCGCCTTACCACGTGAGCGACCATAAGGCGGCTATTACAGTGGGGATCATAATGGGGGTGTTTTTGATTTGCTGGGTGCCGTTTTTCTGCATAAACATAGTCGCGGCGTTCTGCAAGACCTGCATCCCCGACATAACCTTCAAAATATTGACGTGGTTGGGGTATTCGAACTCCGCCTTCAATCCGATTATATACTCGATCTTCAATACAGAGTTTCGTGAGGCTTTCAAGCGGATTTTGACGGCGCACTATCCCTCTTGGTGCAAGTGCGGGTATCAGTCGGTATCTTTGAATACCAACGACAAGTTCATCACTGATTACGGCACCAAGACTCTGGTGGTGAACGCTAGGAGGAACGGCTCGTTCGGAGAGTTCTCCAGTGAACATTTGAGTACCGAGTCGGTGAGGCAGACGCGCGTCAACTCCACCGAGAAGGACTTTTTCGGGGAGGACGTCAGTGCCATATGACAGGACTTTGACAATCTCCAGGACACCATGGTGTAGAGTGTCGAAAACTCGATTGTACATACTCATATTTCGTGGTAGACTTATATAGAATCTATCCTGTCCAGTTTTCTGCATTGCAGTCTGTCCATCTCAAATCGACCGGACAAAAAGGGGTGAGTCGTTATTTTTTAACGAATTTTGTTTAGTTTCTACACCGAAATCTATATCTTTTTGCTTAAATTTGTTTCATCCGAAATCGGCAGTAAAGTAGAACTTTACTACCGATTTAATACGAGTATTGTATGCAACCCATTATACATTTTAAGATGTCTCTACTGCTCCTCAGCAGCAACCGTCGCGGAATTCGGTTGTTTAATGAAAATAATAAGTTAATTTTATTAATTAGATTAAAAAATCGCCGCGGCAGGCAAATATATAATAACCGTCGCAACAAACAGGATACGTAGACACTTCTTACATTCAAATGACATTTGATTTAATCATCAATATTAATTATTAGTATTATTAAATGTGATTTCGGATAAAATTTAATATGCACCTCGGCATTAAAGTCATTTTTATCACTCACGTGGATATTTGCCTCTGCTTTCGCCTCGGAAAATAATTTCCACATTCGTGACTTTACTGCCTTGATACATAAATGACTATTCACGTGTAAGAAATATTTTAAAACAAATTTTTGCCTTTTTTTTAGAAAAAACAATGTAAAAAAATTGATTCAATTCACTTAATTTTTTATATATTTTTTGTATGTAGTGAACATTTACCCACAATTTAAAAAAAAAGTAACTATCAAAACACTTTTGGCCAAGTTATCGCATTTTCAAGAAAAAATGTCACTCGTAAAAATAGAAAAATCGGTGTTTGTGTCAATTTTTCAAAAACTTTCTACGGCCCACAGTGTTTTAATTCTCGAAATTTTCGGCAAAATATCAAGGAGTAGTCGGATTCTCCTAAAAATCCGTATATAGAGGTTTTTAGGGTCGCTGATACCGAATCTGGAATCAGAATTACAAAATTCAAAATAGTGGATCCAAAATGGCGGACATATTTGTAAAAATTGACGGAATTAATTGAAAATCACCATACAGGGGTTTTTGTGGTCGCTGATAGTGAATCTGAAATCAGAATTTCAAAATTCAAAATGGTGGACCTCAAATGGCGGACATTTTTATCAAATATTGTCGACATTAATTTTAAACCCGTAAGAGGTTCTTTTTAAAATGTAAATAAAACTTTATAAATATTTTTTTTTATAAAATAGCTTTATTTAGTTTATTATAATTACATTTATATGATATTATTTAAAAACCTACAAATATATTAAACAATCTCCGTCACTGGATTCGCTAAAAAATTGTCAACACAAATAACCACAATTCAAATTTGATATTAACACACTACAATGCGCATGCGGAGTTGTTTTAATGCACCTACAAGAGGTGGGTTAAATACGTAAAATCGGTGTTAAATATCTTAGTAGTCACGAACGATTTACGCAAGTGAAAGTCTAGACACCGCTGTTGTAATAAACGTTTTGAGATAAATCCGAGTGAATCGAGTAAACGTCATTAACAAAACCCAGAAATAAAAAAAAATCTTATATTTTGTAAAGCAAAAACACAGATACGCGCTCGACATAGGCTTAAAATCTCGAGGTTTTTTACCACAACCGTTCCTGAGCGCCCAAGAACATGTAGTTTTAAAGAGCCGGGGGCAAGTTGGGGCAGCTAATTTATTGATGGCTTGATAGACAAAACTCTAAGCTATTCAACGGATCTTGAAATAATGCCTTACAATTCATTACAATTTTTGTAGCTCCATTGTTCTAAAAGCTCGATTCAAAGTTTGCGATTTTAACAGGCCGATCTTGTCGGTTACAATAACCCGTTGTACAAGCAAAATCTACGAAAAACAAATACATATCTGAATTTAAGATACCTTGAAGATCACCCTTCATCAAACCGCATAACAATCGGACACACCAAACAAAGTTATTCACTTTTAAACAATAAACAATTTTTCGCAGCGATCGCGTACCTTCAACTGAAAGCGTCAAGTTTAAACTGATGTACAAGACAAAATATACGTATTTTATATAATTTTTTTTCACAACAGAATGGAGACAGGTATTAACTACCCATCTTACTCAAAATTTACCTGAAAAAAATGTCAATTTTTGAGGTTTTGCCGATATTTTCCAGAATTGAAACACTGTGCGGCCGAACTAAAGAAATTTAAGCAAAAAAAATCGATTTCGGTAGAGAAACTGTAAAGAGAAAATTGTTAAAAATAACGACCCGCCCCTATTTGCCTGGTCGATTTTAGATGGTATTATTACCTGCTGAAATAAAAAACGTTAAATGAAGGAAAATAAGAAAACTTTATACTGCAGCAGAGAAAACCAAATAAGCTTAAATTCGCTTTTCAATTTCTTATACTTAAAATCCTGTATACGGAATTCCATTCAACTTCAAAAGCCTGGTTTTACAATATAAAAAACATAATCTTTGACTGGGCTTTTTTGATCAAACAACTAGTTATTTATTTACATTCCAATACGGATAAGAAAAAAGTCTTCATTTTAATTTGTTAAGTTTGGCAAGGACCAAATAAATAAATGAATTATCTGTGATTTGTTTGCATATACATAAATACATATTATGTAAATATTTATTTTATAGTTCGTACCTGAATCATTTTCAACTAAAATTAATACCTATTAACATATCGCAAATGTTTTGTACATGTTCATAGTCTATGTTGTAAATAATACCCTTGTTTATATCATTGTTAGCAGTAAATGTAATACTTTATTTACAAAAAAAAATAATAGAAAAGTGATTTAAACTAAGCACAAGTTTTCTCAATTTTAAGCCAAGATAAGGGAATTTAATATTAAACCAACAGATTTTTTCAACAAAATTGGTAGGTTTAACAATCTGTCATTGTTGTAAATCAAACAATTTTCAAATAATCAAAATAATAAAATTGGGATGGTAATGGCTTAGTTTATTAAATAGTATATATGAGTGAGGTTTTGGTTGTTGTATTTTTTATATTTGTAAATAAATATGGTGGCATTTGTGGAGAAATCGATTGTAGAAAAAAGTGTTAATAAATAGGGTATTTGGGTCACTTCACCTCAACGAGCATAATTGTACAGATTTGTGAGTTTTTCTAGTCTTTTGTGATCGACGCATATCCTTGATAATCTATCTCTTAATTCGATCTAGTCAATAGCAATATAGATAATCCCGTCAATAAATTGAAAATTATATTTTTATCGTATAAATTATATTTTAATATTTAATTTGTATTCCGTAATAATAATAAACAAATCAAAATTAGCATACCAAATAAGTTATAATATAGAACGTGTAAACAAGTCATTTAATAAACACTTTTATGTTTTTTTAACATTAAACGTAGTCGCCTATATTTAACTACTTTTTTATGATTTTACTCATCAACGCAAATTAATTGCATTTTTTATCATTAACGAAAGTAATAAATGGCTTATTTACACGTACGGTAGAATGGAAAAAATAAATGTACAACATATATCTCCAGAGAATCTAATAGACTAAGATACAGGGTTACAAAATCATATAGACATAATTGTAGTACATCAATAGTACAACAATGTTATACAAGTTCAAAAACATATTGTTGTAGTGTTGATAAATAAATCAAAAATATTTTAGAAAAACTTAAACGAGTACATATCTGTAAAGAAAAGTGTTAACTAAAGTTTTGTAGCTAAAAAATATCTTAATGCTATTGTAAATATTGAATGTTTTATACCCTTAATGGATGTAAACGATTAAACTAAATAAATGTAAATATTAAAGAACTAAACTAATTGCTATAGATTGTTTTATTCGAATATATTTCACACCCTTCCTTTGAACATATCAAAATTATTTTAAAATCCTTTTATAAATTGCTTTATTTAACCTTACAACTTGAGGTTATCTAAAAGTAAGCCTTAAAAATGGCGCATTACATTGATTTATACTTCACTAGTTAGAATTATGGTTTAAAAATGTATTTTATTTCAAAAAACTACCTTTAATAAAATATACTGCTCAAAATAATTAGTGGCCATAAAAACCACAATTGAAGCAAAGTTTGCAAATCGATTGTAAACATTGAGAAAGTTTCTGTTAATAAATTATATGATCTCTTGAAGTTACATTATAAATTTCACTAATGCATTTTATAAAACTTTCAAACCTACTTTATATGTAAGTACTTACTATGCCACTTTACAGCGTAGGATCTAAAACACACAGGATGAGGAAAGAAAAGAAAACTTTTTTATTCCCACACACTCTTTATTTCAACAAAGGCTATAAATATTTTATAGCATACACTCATTACTTAAGTCTTTCTCTTTTGTTTCTTTTTGTTGTCTGCTTCCTCTGATATTATCCTTTGAAATAGCACCGCCTTTTCAGAGGACAGATTCCTTTCTCTAAACTCTCTATTGCTCCAGGAAAACAATCGCAAGTTATCAAAGTATCTCTCGTCTTTTGGTACGTTAATTTTATTTAAAAGCATATCGGTTATATTCGGAATGATGGGTTGCAATAAAACAGCCGAAACCCGTAGCGTCTCCATGGTGATGTGCAAAACAACATTGAGATCGTTCAACGTTGTAGGATCCTTTTTGAGCTGCCAGGGTTTCAGCGTTTCGAAAAATAAGTTTGCCGAATGCAGAGTTGCCACAACGCTGTCGACCACTTTGTAAAAGTTCAAGTCCTCGTAATGTTGCTGACAAGTTTCTAAAAAAACATTTTTTTAAATTTTGCGTAACTTTGCCCGCATTTCCAAAAAACCGGATTAAGTCAAATTGCAGTAGAAAACACCAAGTTTTTATTTTTTACTCTTTACTCTCACTCTTTACTCTCACTCTTTACTTTTTACTCTTTATTATCACTCTTTACTCTCACTCTTTACTCTCACTATTTACTCTCACTATTTACTCTCACTCTTTACTCTCGCTCTTTACTCTCACTTTTTACTCTTTATTATCACTCTATACTCTCGCTCTTTACTTTTTACACTTTACTCTGACTCTTTACTTTCATTTTTCATTGTATAATATTTTATAAAATCGTATAAAATTTTGTAGAATTTCGCTTTAGAAATAAAAAGATTATGTTAAAAAAGTAATCGTACTAAAATTAAGTAAAACTAGTACCAGATTTTTTTAATTTATCGGAATCCCTTGCAAATAATTTTTGCTTATCTCTTTTATTTTTACTTTTTCAATAATACATTAAAATCACATATTTTTTAAAATAAACAAAATTTATTTTCATAAAAATAATGATAATATTGCAGCCAAAGTAAAAAAATCGAAAAAATATCTATAAGTTTAACTTTAATCTTAAATAACTTTTAAACCAGTGGATTTATAAAAAAATCATAGGAAATCGTTTTTGTACAGCGTTTAATTTCCAAAAGTTGGTAAATAACGGAAACCCTAATGTACAATGTTGTACAAAAATGGTAATTGATTTGAGAAATATTTTGACAAACACATTTTTCAGAGTATTTAAAGACCTTTAATAAATTACTGTCAAATGTTTAAATGCTAGATTTATAGCCACTGCAGTCCTTTATATTCCTCCATTTTAATCTTAAAGCCATGAACATTAAATTGCAATTTCCAATGCAGCATTTTCATTCAAGAGAATGCATAAATAAAAAATTTTTACACCTCAAGCTGTTATAAAATTAATCGAAAAACTAAAAGTACGTCCTGAGAAAAATAAATTATAATATAAAATGATCTCAGGTGCATTTGGTGAACTTTCCCGATGAAACTCGCGAAGAATTTAATTTAATGGATCTTTTTACCTGGCAAGCTGGTCACGTGATCTATCAGCTTTTTGGTCACGTCCAGCTTCGATATGGATTCGAACGAGTCGATTTCTATCTCGGGCAGAATTTGATTCGGGTTTAAGCTGAGTGCCGTGCAACGGTTCAGAAGGTTGCCCAGCGTGTCGGCCAGTTCGCTGTTCAAGATTCTTGTCAGTTTTGTTTCGCTGAAATCTGAAAACAAAACGCTAGTTGGAAGCAGTTTGTATCGCCGACTTTTCCCATGTAAAATTGCCGGTCAAAAGTCAAGCAGAACAGTTTTAAAGATATATCACGGTGCTGTTCTGAGAGATTTTTAGACTTTCTGTGAAACCTATTTTTTTTTTAAATTCTTGTTAATTAGGTCATAACTAAAATTTTAAGAGCAAAATAAAAAAAATTTGACGGTTTGAATTGTTTTAATTGGCTGTTTATTAAAAATATGTATGCACTCTTTCAATTATCCAATTAAAACTAGCCATTTAATTTAAATATTTAATATTTGCATAACTAAAAAAAAGGTTTTTACATTTTTTTTTATAAATTTTACTGTTTTGTTGCAATAAACGTTCAAACTTTTAATCTAACCTTTGACGTATACATTTATGTTCCCTTAATTAATATATCCTTAAAGGTTGCCATGCATGAAACTTAGATCTATTAAAAATTTATTTGATGTTTGAATTGTCATTTTCAGTATACGTATTCTATAATTTTTGTTTAGTTTTTTAAAGTGTTTTTTATAAACAAAAATGAAAAATTGTAGTAAAAGTTACGAAGAAATTCATGAAATTGAACTAAGGACCGGTTTATTCATCTTTAGTAAAGTTTATCGGGCCGATAACTTTCATGTCTTGGCAATATCTAGTATCCAAAGAAATTATTCGTCAAATAAATCAAAAATGAATAAATCGGCCCTAAATAAAATGTGGCACCCTTAGAATTATTGTTTAATAAATGTATACTATACATTTAACCTTAAATTAAAACTTTAAACGTGTATTACAACAAAACAGTAAAAGATATAAAAAATGTATAGACCTTTTTTTAGGAAATTAACTAATCTTTAATCTGATTTAAAAAGTTATGATAATATTTAAATAAAATCGCAAGTTTTAATTGGAGAATTGAAAGTGTGCATACATATTTTTAATAATCATCCAATTAAAACAAAATTAACCGTCAAATTTTTTTTATTTTGCTCTTAAAATTTTAGTTATGACCTAATTAACAAGAATATAAAAAAAAATTTGGTTTCACAGAAAGTCCAAAAATCACCTCTCAGAACAGCACCGTGATATTTCATTTAAAGAAAAAGAAAGTAATTTTTCATAAATTTTTTGAAAAAGTATTCTTCTCATTTTTCCTTCTGTTCATAATATTTTTGATTTTCAGATTCATTTGAAATTTTAAAATTTTGATAAAAATATTTTTTTAATTCAAAATAAAAAGAGTTAAAATCCCTTAAAAAGGACATATAAAACCTTTAATTTACTGTGAGACGTTTGTCTTAAAAAATATTAAACCATTGTCTACAAATTTAAAACAGTGTTTTTTTTATTTAAATATGGTTCAAAATAAGTCAGGTTTGGTATCATATAAAAGAAAATTTAATTTTACACAAAACAAAATTAAAATATTTACCAAAATTTATTTTGTTTTTAAAATAATACCAAACAACTAACAGTTTTTGAGATATATTTAATTTTCAAAAAAAATATTTAACACTATTACACTATTTAATTTCTTAATATTGGTATTTATGGTTCCCTTTTTTTGCCAGATTGTTTTTTTTTCAAAAAAATGGTTTTAATTTATTACATAAACATTTCTTTTCTAAAAATCAAAAAAATTCTCGATGAAAAAAAAATATTTTCTCAAGAATTTTTTTTTTGAAAAAGTATTCTTCTCATTTTTTCCTCTGTTCATGATACTTTTGGTTTCCAGTTTCATTTTGAATTATAAAATTTTGATTAAAAATATTTTTTTTATATTTAAAATAAAAAGAGTTAAAATCCCTTTAAAAGGATACATAAAACGTCAAATTTGCTGTTAAAATAAACGAGTAATCGTATAAAACAATATTCATCTTAGTAGGCTATGATAAAGTGTTTTTTAGTTAAATATGGGTTATTATTGGTTCAAAATAAGTCAAGTTTGGTATCATATGAAGGGAAATTTAATTTTACACAATACGAAATTAAAATGTTTTCCAAAAATATTTTGATTTTAAAATAATAATAAACAACTAACTTTTTGTTAACTTTAAACGATTTATCTTTTAATAAAGCTATAGATTAATATCTATAGCTAATGAAATAAGCTACTTCCTAATAAAATCGGTTAAAAAATGTATAATCATTTTGCTGAAAAAAAACACACAAATTGCAACTAATGGGATAAGTAATTTCACCCACACACAGTTTTTTATTGCAGGAAAATCTTTATGAGGCAATTTATATCATTAGTGGGTTTTATACAAAAACTGTGATTTTAAAAGAAAGCCTACAAAATTAATATTGAGTAGGATTTAATGAAGGAGTAAATTGGGGCCGATTGCTTTTGATTAAAATATTCCCACGAGTGGGAGAGGATAAAAAAGGAACGAAAGGTCCAATGTTATTTTATACTGAACGATTTTAAACTTTTTTGGTTATACTTGAATGGGTGAAAAAAGCTTTAAATTGACTTTTTATTGATATTGATATATATATATATATATATATATATATACACCCGTAACTTTTTTATTTGTCACTCTATTTTAATAAGGAAAGGCTCAAAATATAGAGAATTAAAAACTCTATCTAACCTATAAAAATATTTTAAATGTCACTTGACAGATTCCTACTATAACAATTTTTCTGTCAAAATTCGGAAAAAATTATTAGGGTCGTTTTTTTGAAAAGAAAAAATAAGTACGCCACTGAATGCTTCAAAATGGGTACAAACCCAATTTCATTAAACACGAAAAATGAATAAAATAATTTTAGACAAGTTAATTTAGTTAATTTCATCAAAAAATAAACCATTACTCATTTTTTGGACTAAAATGAAGAATAAAGTGAATTTTTGATAAATTGCCATATAATAGCGGTTACCCAAGATATCCAAAAAATCTCGAAAACGTCCCGAGGGATAACTTAAATGTTATTATAATAACAGTTAGGTTATCCTATAGGAAGAGGTATTACGGTGTATTAAAACATCTCTTTTTTTAACACCCTGTAGTATAATGCTATGTGCAAAATATCGTATTCCCAAAATTAGACGTAAGTCAAAGAATCCACTTTTGCTCATTTTTGGACTAAACTATAGAAAATAACGAAAATTTTCGAAAAATTGGCATATAATCGTGGTAAGCCGCGATATTCACAAAATCTCGAAAACGTTCCGAGGGTTTACCTTACTTATATTAGGGAGGGATATTACGGGTATCAAACTCAACTGCCTCATGAATGGGAATAACTTGAAATTTCGAAAAAAATACATCTCTTTCTGTAGTATAATGCTATGTGCAAAATATCGTATTCCCAAAATTAGACATAAGAGTCAAAAAATCAGCTATTCAGAATTTCCAAAGATTTTCAAAATCGATGGGTGAATGATAAATACACTCACGTGCAAAATAATCGATCCACACAAATTTTCGAAGAATTTCAATCGCAAATAACTTTTTTATTTGATATCGGATTTAAACGAATATTAAAGAATATTGTAGATAAATTAATGGACAATCGCTCACATTTTAAATACTAAAAAATAGACGTACGTTTATAATTTACAGGTTTAAACAAAAAGATGTTTTTTACCATAAGTTTAAGACACTCTGTAGAGTGGCAAAACCGTATATTGTTCTAAATTAAGTTTTATTTATCAAGTCACATCTATTCTTAACAGTTTTGTTTTGGGTTCACCTCGATATATTTATTTTTGTGGAAAATATCGATTTTTTTAAAAAACATTGCAATTTCCAATATTTTTCCTGTATGAAGAACTAAGGTTGCTATGGTCCATCCATAGGCTATGGAGAATGACAGTGACAGTTTTGTGGAATCATCCCATACTTGGACATATCATACACGGCTTTCAAAAGCTATCAAATTGTTTTTTGCAAATTAATGTTTAAATTTTGAGGTGTATATTATAAACGTACGTCTATTTTTTAGTATGTTTTTTAAAATGTGAGCGATTGTCCATTAATTTATCTACAATATTCTTTAATATTCGTTTAAATCCGACATCAAATAAAAAAGTTATTAGCGATTGAAATTCATCGAAAATTTGTGTGGATCGATTATTTTGCACGTGAGATATGAAAAATGTTTTTCATGACTTTTGACGGCATTTTCTAATTCAGCGGATAATTTTTCATAGGTCTCATGTCTAACAAAAATGATACCAGAGTTCGTATCATCTTTTTCAGTCTTTGCGCGGCAAAGCATATGGCTTGAAGCAGAGGACTGGGGCAAAAAAAATAAAAAGGAGCAGTCGGAAATCCCGAAGGATAATAATATACTTACTTCCGTCGCTGTGAGCGACACCCTCTCTGAGCAAGAAGTATCGCAGACCGTCTGACGTGTGCTTTTCCGCCTGCACGAACGGACAGACGACGTTGCGCTTCGATTTCGACATTTTTTCCCCGTCGACGGTCCAATGCGAGTGGCACAGGATCGATCTGGGTGGCTCGAGGTTGGCTCCCATCAGGAAGGCCGGCCAATATATGCCGTGGAACCTGTAACAGAAATATTGTTCTTCCAGCAGGGTTTTGCCCTTTTTGTTATCGACTCTCCATCGAGACGTCTCGATAAAAAGGTGATCCACATATTTTGCTAGCAGGCTGGGTCAGTGGAAAGTCTATGTAACAGCTTTCCACGACTTGACATTTTTCTATATTTGATTATCCAACAATGTAATAAAAAAAAGTATTAAATTTATTTTTAATAATAATAATAATAAACGACTTTATTTGATATAAGCACTAACATCAAAAAGGCGCATTAATATTTAAAACACAATGTTATTTATTATTCAATAAATTTTTTTGTTTGTACGCAATATAATTTGGGAGTAAATAAAATAGCCAGCCACGTGTTGAATTGTGGCTTTTCCTAGTATTTTATTTATATATAACCAGTACAAATAATAAAAACGTATATTTTCTCTTTGATGAAAATTAAATTTTAAAACATTCCGATTTTTTACTAGTTTTTTAAACGTTAACAGCTGTTTTTTTTATTATTTTTTATACAAAGATTTGTTTAAAAATTTTATTTATTTATATAAAAAGAAAAAAACGTTTTAAAAATGTAAATTAAAATATTGTATTATAATTAAAAAAAAAGGCAGTGTTGTCGTTTTAAAAGTAGGTACTTAAAATTAATTTAAAAGTGTCAAAAATGGTGAATGCGTCGGGATTAAATAAAATACAGTTATTGGTGTTTTTTAAATTGAAATGTGTTTGGTACAAGATATTTTATACTGCAGATACTGACGAATCAAAACAGATTAATTAAATCTCAAACTAATAATCTGTAAAAACATTGTATTTAACCAGTCAATTTTTAAGATACAGAGTATTTAAAAGTACTTAAAATTAAAAGTGTCAAAAATAGTGGATGCGCCGGGATTAATTTTTAAATAACTGTATTTTATTAAATAAAATACAGTTATTTATTTATATACTTATTCATATTTTGTTCCAAAATTGGTGTTTTTTTAAATAGTAACGTGTTTGGTACAAGATATTTTATACTGCAGTAAAACTAATATTCTGCAAAAAACATTGTATTCAACCAGTCAATTTTTAAGATACAGAGTATTTAAAAGTACTTAAAATTAAAAGTGTCAAAAATGGTGGATGCGCCGGGATTAATTTTTAAATAACTGTATTTTATTAAATAAAATAAAGTTATTTATTTATTTATATTTTGTTCCAAAATTGTGTTTTTTAAATTGAAACGTGTTTGGTACAAGATATTTTATACTGCAGATACTGATCAAAACAGATTAATTAAGTTTAAAACTAATAATCTGCAAAAAACATTGTATTTAACCAGTCCATTTTTAAGATACAGAGTATTTAAAAGTACTTAAAATTAAAAGTGTTAAAAAAGGAGGATGCGCCGGAATTAATTTAAATAACTGTATTTTATTAAATAAAATACAGTTATTTTACTTATATTTTGGTCCAAAATTAGTGTTTTTTTAAATTTAAACGTGTTTGGTACAAGATATTTTATACTGCAGATACTGACAAGATCAAAACAGATTAATTAAGTGTAAAACTAATAATCTGCAAAAACATTGTATTTAACCAGTCAATTTTTAAGACACAGAACATTTAAAAGTACTTAAAATTAAAAGTGTAAAAAATGGTGGATGCACCGGGATTAATTTTTAAATAACTATATTTTATTAAATAAAATACAGTTATTTATTTATTTATATATTCATATTTTGTTCCAAAATTAGTGTTTTTTAGATTGTAACGTGTTTGTTACAAGAAGATATTTTATAATGCAGATACTGACAAGATCAAAACTAATCATCTGCAAAAAACTTTGTATTTATCTAGTCAATTTTTAACATTAATCTATAAGAAACAAACCTATTAGCATTAGTCTGTCTCTTCCTTTCAAGCTTAATAGCAAATAAAAAAGGGTAGTTAATCTATTACTTACAAATGCAGACCTTGAAATATTACAGGCATTTCCTTTAACATCCTTTTTTATGTCATCACGAAACCCAAAACTTTTCGCATTGCCATCCCCTATAATGCACCGCTCTTATTTACCGTTACGTCTATATCAGGAAAATAGAGATAAACGACGTCTGGTTAAAAGTTAGCGCCAATTTTATCTCTTTCGAGATTGTTTCGAGTGCACTCGTCGTTCTGCATCGTAATGGTCACGATAATTGATAGGTTTGCAGTATGGCGCAAGAATTTTTTTAGTCTGGACCAGCGAACTGAAATCAATCATTCGACATTTTTTTGTGAGCTTTAAAAATGGATTTTAGTGCAAAAGGGTCAAAGCATAAATTTTACTTAAACTTACATCTAATAAACATCACTACAATGTTTTCTTTTAGCGATTTGCTTTGCTGTGGTTTATCGGCTTATAGGCTTATAAGCCTTGCCGTTTATGTAGGTAGTCCTAAAAAAATAAATCTAACAAGGTTCAAGTAATTTTCCAGGGAAGCATTTTCGTATATGGTCCGCAATAAAACATTCGGCGCAATTGTTTTATTATATTGTAAACAATTCAAAACATAACTGCAATATTTTCTACGACAAATACTATTAGTAGGTAGGTATAAAAGTAATGTAATACTAATTAATTTTAATATTTGTTAGAACGACATTTATACAAAAATACACGGAAAAAAATCTCTGAAACAAGATGATTGAACTAATATTGTCAAGGCTAAAACTAACATTAAACTAAATATTAATCTTTCTTTAAACAAGTAGATCTTTAAATGTTAAGAAAGACTTTAAATGAAATAATATTATCCTTAATTTAAGATTCACAATCGAGTAGACCTAATTTTGAAAAAGTCCCTCTATTCTGTTCTTAAAGATATAAAACTATACTGGATATAAATATAATTATATTTATTCTACGATTAGTAAATATTGGTACGACTGGCCTATTCTTAAAAATATCCCCCACTCACGAAAGTGACCGACATTTTGGAAGATTGTTTCTTGTGTTAGTTAATATTTGGTTTGGAATTATGAAAGAGCTGCTAATTAGTGGAATTTGATAGAATTAACCACCAAATGTGTGTGTAGGTAATAATTATTACATAATTATATTTATGTGTGTTGTATTATGTATTGAATAGGTTATATATAGGTTTTTAAATGGAAAATTCCAGGTAATTTTTTACCAGAATGTACAGCCGTTTAGAGAAAGTAAAGTTTGTTTTTGAACCAGCAGGGATTTATTAGTAAAAATTAGTTGAAAACTTTCTTGAAACTTTTAGAGTTATTTTTTGCAAACCAGCGATATCGCGTCTCTCGGAGACTTTTTTCTGTAACTTGTAAACGGTCGACTTTAGACAAAAATGTAAATAACATTTTTTGTAGGAAATTAAGTCTTCTACAAAAAAGGTCTTATATATCGAATCCCTAAAATTAAAATTTTAAGAGTTATATAAACTACAAATTAATTTTTGTAAAAATAATGTTTTTCTGGCTAATTTAATTTGTTGGGTTCTAAAATGTAATTAAATTTTAACGATTAAACTTAAAAGAAACATTTTGTTACGTTTGGAAATTTGTGAATTGTGTTTCCTATTTCCAATAACTCATACATGCCTGCTTATTACTTGAAAAGTCTGACGTTTTTGGATAATTTATCTTGTTAAATGCCCCAATAATTTAATTTTAAAGCTAATTAAATTCTTAACAACATTTTGTTATTGAATTTATAATATGAAAACCTCTTTAATTATTTTTTGATTTTTTAAATGCACAAGCTGTGACTTCAATATAGATGTATCGTTTTCGGTGTTCCAAAGCGTAAAATTAATTTTAAATCGAAAAGAGAAAATTCAATTTCCGATTTTCTTTGGAGCGACCTAATGCCGGGTTGTTATTTATTCGTTGACTCGGCCAGTCAATGACCAAATTTTATCAAGAGGGTAATATAAATAAAAATCTTCACGGAAAATCTGAAATCTAAAAATTAAAAAGAAATGCCTTATAAATTCAATACACGTAGCTGGGCAATTTATGTCGCGGTGTGGCATTTGATTTGCAAATGTTGAATCTTTTTCATTGAAATTTATCTCATTTAAATTCATACCAAAATCATTGCACGTTATTTCACCTGTATTTAAAGAATCCCCTTCTTGCTATAGCAAACGTTTATTATAGGGTTTCTTTGCCATTGAAATAAGAAATCTTTAAAATTAAATTTATTTAATATTAACCTGTCTTGCCTGTTAAATGTTAAGAAAGACTTTAAAAAATGTTTATTTTAAAAGGCGGCGTTTATCAAACTTGATACATTCGGGAATAACTTTATGTATAAACTTTTTAAATTTCTACTTACTTTAAAATATCCTTTCCTATCACTTGAACGTCTGGTGGCCATACTTTGTTGAAGTCTTGTTCGGTTTTATTCGCATATCCAGCCACTGTTAAATAATTAACCAACGCATCCAACCAAACGTATACGGTTTGAGAATCGTCTTCGGGAACTTTTATACCCCAACTTACCCTTGACGACGGTCTGGAAACCGATACATCGGGCAAATCTTCATTGCTGATCTGGTTAATGAGGATTTTTTGGAATTTTTGTGGTCTTATAATAAAGTCTGAAAGTTAATACACACTATAATTTGAAACGTGAGAATTGGAGCTTGATTTTTTCTTAAAATTCTTGCATTAGTGCAGAACCACTTATGTTATGTTATTGCTAGACCTGGTGGCTTCCCAAAAACCCCATTCTAGACTAACAGTGAAACAACCAAAAATAAAAAATAATCATTTTCACTTGGGGGACATCTCGATATATTCAGGAGGAAAAAAAACCGAATCCTACAATAAAGTACGTAGGTGGATTACTTGTCCAGAAAAGCAAGAGGTCACTTGACTTGAGCTGATGTAATAAAGTTTTACGGTCGCCTATCCCGCAATGGCGGGATTTCTGGCCGGCTGAGAAACTAATTACAGAACCCATTAAGAAGCGAAAGCAATCCATTAACAAATCCCGACCACCTCTTATATATAAACCGACTCACCGTTCTGTTTGAGCCAATAGAGCAGATCGTCTCGGAACGAGCCGAGTTTAAAAATGTAATTCTGCTCTTGCGTCCACTCGACCGGATGTCCGCTTTCGCCGGACACAATTACTTTGCGACCGTCCACGGTGCTTTCTTTTAGCTGCGATTCCGTCAAAAAACACTCATCTGACACGCAGTACCAGCCCTCGTAAGCCGCCCGGTAGATGAGATTGTTCTTTTTTAACGCGTCCTGGAACAAAGTTTTAAGTAAACAGATAATCTTGTAAATATTCCCAGCAAACACAGCTATTTTATCTATTTTGCAAAAGTTCTTTTTAAATAAATTAATTCTCAATTATCAATTACAAAAATTAATATATTAATTAATTAATTTACCGCACGTGCAGGCGCACGTGAGGGCGCACGTGAGGGCGCACGTGCGGGGCGCACGTGAGGGCGCACGTGCGGGGCGCACGTGAGGGCGCACGTGCGGGGCGCACGTGAGGGCGCACGTGCGAAGCGCACGTGCGGGGCGCACGTGAGGGCGCACGTGAGGGCGCACGTGCGGGGCGCACGTGAGGGCGCACGTGCGGGGCGCACGTGAGGGCGCACGTGCGGGGCGCACGTGAGGGCGCACGTGCGGGGCGCACGTGAGGGCGCACGTGCGGGGCGCACGTGAGGGCGCACGTGAGGGCGCACGTGCGGGGCGCACGTGAGGGCGCACGTGCGGGGCGCACGTGAGGGCGCACGTGCGGGGCGCACGTGAGGGCGCACGTGCGGGGCGCACGTGAGGGCGCACGTGCGGGGCGCACGTGAGGGCGCACGTGCGGGCGCACGTGCGGGGCGCACGTGAGGGCGCACGTGCGGGGCGCACGTGAGGGCGCACGTGCGGGGCGCACGTGAGGGCGCACGTGCGGGGCGCACGTGAGGGCGCACGTGCGGGGCGCACGTGAGGGCGCACGTGCGGGGCGCACGTGAGGGCGAACGTGCGGGGCGCACGTGAGGGCGCACGTGCGGGGCGCACGTGAGAACGCACGTGAGGGCGCACGTGCGGGGCGCACGTGAGGGCGCACGTGGTGGCGCACGTGAGGGCGCACGTGGTGGCGCACGTGAGGGCGCACGTGGTGGCGCACGTGAGGGCGCACGTGGTGGCGCACGTGAGGATAATTAAAAGTATGTTTTATTTACAGAAAACATTGGTTTGGAACACCAATGGTTTCTTAAAGTCCCATTAACTTGATACTGAAAATTCCATATATTTATATGGGTCTTTTATGGTAGTAAAATAAACAAATATTACCTTATTACGACAGCCTTTTATCAAAATTAATATTTTTATTAAAACATTTCTGTAAAGGCCCAGTACAAGGAAAGCTTCGGCTAAAAATTCTATTATTAAACCATAAAACTATATTAGCATATGCTATTACATGAGACTTAAGTGTTTGCTGGGTTAATTAAATCTTCAAATCAATTAAACATTTGTGGTCGCTGACCTTTAAACTAGTTTTTAGATCCCAATTAAAAATCTGTTAAATTTCTAAGTTTGAATTTTTGCCCCAATAATGCTCACCCAAAACTTATTAACAGTCTCTTTATGCTCCTCGTCCGTAGTTCGGATGAATCTCGTATAACTAACGCCGAATTGATCGGATAATTTCCTGTATTTCGATGAAATTTCGTCGCAATAATTCGCAGGCGATTTGCTAAATTTGCTGGCCGCCTGTTGAATTTTCGTGCCGTGCTCGTCGGTGCCCGTGGAAAATTCTATTGGTGCGCTTCTGTCCGACATACGGCGCCATCTCTGCGCGGCGTCGGCAATCAACGAACTATACAGATGCCCGATGTGGGGATCTGCAATACCGACAAGACATTTTTATTAGTGTATTTTTTGGCATTTTAAAGTGTGTGGTGATTATTGTTTAATAACGAAACTATTTAAAAATACAATTTCTCTGTTATATTTAACATGGCAATGTTCAAATGTGGTTTTAATGATTTTTAGGTTAACTTACCTGCGTTCACATAATAAATAGGAGTTGTGTAGTAATTAATTAAACTAGACTTTGTACTAAACTTTCTCAACATAGTTTTATTTATTATGAACACAATATTAACACTTATTTAGAAAATTAACTATTTTTTGTTTGTTTCTGCCTCATTTTCCGAGTAACATAACCTCACTAGCACTCAACTGTCATCACAGACTGACTGCACAAAACATTTGGATGTAAATGTTTTAAAAATATCAATATAATCTTAAATATACCTGTCTTAAAAATAGCTAGATAAATTGGCTTTAAAATGTTAATTTAAGCTACCTATAACTGTTTTAAAAATGTTAAATATAACTGTTTTAAGAGTGTCAAGTTAAGCAAAATAATATCGCTTTAAAAATGTCAATTTAAGCTAGATTTAACTTTTTGGAATGTCAATTTAAGCTGTAACATAACTGTCTTAAGAATCCCAACTCAAGAGGAATTAAAAAAAACTTGAACATGTTAAAATTTTATTTTAAAATTTTACAGTTGTTTTTTGGTTGTTGTATAAAAACAAATATCACAAAGAATACATAGACTTACGATTACTTCAGTATATAAATGCTATATATTTTTTATTATATGGTTATGTATGCTGTAATGAAAAAAAAATGATGAAATAAATAATATGAAGCTATATCTACACTTATTGTAAAATCTAAATAAATGTACAATTCTAAAAAAGAAAAAGTCTACATCTAGAACTAAGATTCTAAATAAATATTTACATGGGTCCACCATTACATAATAGATAAGTATTATATACAGGAATCCCAAAATTAAGAAGCCAATGGAAAAAATAGATTCAGAATGTTAATTTTCACTTTTATTCCTTTTTCCAGGGGGATACATGTATATTACACAAACTAGTATTTTTTATATGCAGATTGCACAGTTTAACTTTGGCCCCCTAAATTTGGGACACCCTGTTTTTTCAAGTCAAATAGTTAATTAAAACCTGTACTTAAAGGTCCTAAAAATATAATATAAGATAGAAAGAAAAATAAATTTAATAAAATTCAATTTTAAAAATAATAAACATTCTAATATTAAAAATAGGCTTTATGTTGAAAAAAATAATTGGTAAAATATAGAAAAGAATTATTTGAAATTACATCAACCATGATGACAACACATACTTTTTTTTCTTATATGGGTGGTCTGGTTTTGAAAAAATGACATAAAAACTCAAAATAAGCCATTTTGGACCATTTCAATTAAAACAAAAATAATCCTACACTCTTAAAATCTCCAAGGACTTATTATAACAGATGGCGATCCAGTCTGGCTGGGTGGCGCCCCACTGAATTTGGTTGACCTCGCCTTCGGCAGCGGTGTAAGCCAAAATTGGGTCCTCGATAGCCCTGGGCATTTGCTGAATGTCCCATATTAGGGCCTGATGGTCGTCGCCAGCCGTGCAAATGTGACAACTCGAATGCGGGGCCCACGCGATACCGTTCACGCACGCCCTGTGGTTGTTAAGTCTGGCAACGGGGGTGCACGGCACCCTAACGTCCAAAATTATCACCTATAATAAGGTAAAACTTTAAGGACAACTTTGACGGTCTGTAGTTTTGTTATTTTTCAACCAATTTAAGAAATATATATGTGAAAAGTTAGATAATTTTAATCGCTTTAAGAAAATGTAAATAGTTTTATATGCCCCAATAGTAATTTTACGAGATTATCCACAAAATATAAAGTCGTGTCACTTTTGGTGCTCTTAAAATTAAGACCAACTTTAACACTCTGTAGTTTTGTTATTTTTTACCCAAATTAAGAAATATTTATGTCAAAAGTTAGATAATTTCATACACTTTAAAAAAATGTAAATAGTTTAATATGCCCCAGCAGTAATTTTACGAGATAATCCACAAAATATAAAGTGTCAATTTTGGTTCTCTTAAAATTAAGACTAACTTTAACACTCTGTAATTTGGTTATTTTTAACCCAATTTAAGAAATATTTATGTCAAAAGTTAGATAATTTCATACAATTTGAGAAAATGTAAATAGTTTAATATGCCCCAGCAGTAGTTTTACGAGATAATCCACAAAATATAAAGTCATGTCACTTTTGGTTTTCTTAAAATTAAGACCAACTTTAACACTCTGTAGTTTTGTTATTTTTAACCCAAATTAAGAAATATTTATGTCAAAAGTTAGATAATTTCATACACTTTAAGAAAATGTAAATAGTTTAATATGCCCCACTACAAATTTTACGAGATACTATATAGTGTCAATTTTGGTTTTCTTAAAATTAAGACCAACTTTAACACTCTGTAGTTTTGTTATTTTTTACCCAATTTAAGAAATATTTATGTCAAAAGTTAGATAATTTTATTCACTTTAAGAAAATGTAAATAGTTTAATATGCTCCAGTACTAATTTTACGAGATTATCCACAAAATATAAAGTCGTGTCACTTTTGGTTCTCTTAAAATTAAGACCAACTTTAACACTCTGTAGCTTGGTTATTTTTAACCCAATTTTAGAAATATTTATGTCAAAAGTTAGATAATTTCATACACTTTAAAAAAATGTAAATAGTTTAATATGCCTCAGCAGTAATTTTACGAGATAATCCACAAAATATAAAGTCGTGTAACTTTTGGTTTTCTTAGAATTAAGACCAACTTTAACACTCTGTAGTTTGGTTATTTATAACCCAATTTTAAAAATATTTACATCAAAAGTTAGATAATTTCGTCAGGAACTCATAAATACCTCACAAGCGTCCATGGCTATTGTGGCCAAGTAGTTGGGGTCCTGTTTGTTCCACGCGAGCCGTAGCAAAGGCGTGTGCGCGGGGTCCTCATATATGATGGTGGAATGTTCCAAATGACGTAAATCGAACATCCTGACGGACCCGTCCGCCCCCACGGAGGCGAACATATCCCTCCCGCCCCCGGCTCTGGAGAACGCGATATCGTACACCTCTTTGTCGTGGGCTATCAGCTGAGTTTTCACGTGGCCCGACACCAAGTTGACTCTGCCCATAATTTGGCCCGTTTCCAGCCCCCAAATGGTGCAGGTGGTGTCTATGGACGACGTCCCCACCAAATTGGGGTCGACTTCATTCCAATCGAAGCTCGTTAGAGGCGCGCAGAAGTCCGAGTTTTTGTTGTTGTTCAAAACGCACTCCAGCCTCGTATCGGGCTCTCCTGCCCTCCACACTCGCAGATAATCCCCACTAATTTAATATAATTCATAAATAAAAATCAATTTGATCAAAATCATATCTTACCTTGTAGCTAATAAATCAGGGAAAACTCCTTTACTGTCGGGTATCCACATGATTTTGGTGGTTGGGTAAGGATGGTCGAACGTGCTTTTAGCCGTGAACTCGCTACTTTCTTCGTCCAAAGACACAATTTGCACTTTATTGTTGTATTCTTCCACAAAACTGCCCAGAGCCAGGCGAAACCTTTTGTCGGGTCTTACGGACCAATTCATGCTGTATAACGGCCATGGGGCTAGGTATTTATATATTTCTTTTCGTTTACCAGCAGGTACTACCCCAGAATGAGCCATTATCTAAAATAAATAGCTTAAGCAAATCTGATTGGAGGTGGTTCAATTTTGGCATTTCTGAAAGGAGTGTTACTTACTTTTGGCTTTTAAGTTGTGTATGAGCCTAAAATACTTTTAAAAATACCTCAATAACTCGTTTATAACTAATACTTTCTTAAATAAAAACATTAATGTTTACATGCAATTTCCGACTGACCTTGACGGATGCTTTGACATTTAAACAGAGTTGCCAACAGTCAAATTATCAACTCCCCAAATATTTTTAAAATTTAATTTCTAGACTATACCGTTGGTAAAGTGTTGTTTTTATTATTGATAATTATTATAATAATCATAATGCATGCTGGCATCAAAATTACTTTGCGCCATATAGAAATATAAACAGGCCCTGTTACAGAGGTGCCAACTTTGATAACCAAACCCCTAATATAGACAACCCAGATAACATCGTTGCACCGTGTTTGCCTATATACCAAACTTATTTTAACAAAATTTTGGTCAAACTTCACGAACGTGTTTCTTTGGACAAAAATGCTTACTTATTTGTGCATACGTGTGTTTATGATGATTATTTCCCTCATTATAATATTAACCAACCAAAAGCCTTGAATTTTCGAATAAATTTCGTTTAAATAAGCGATTACTAGAACTATCACTATAGAACTATTTAACAGCGATTAAATTTTAGGTATTTTGCATTCAACATTTTCCAAGAAAAACCAAACAAAAAACTACTGAGCCTAGTTTAACCGATTAAATTCATAGTTCTCGTGATATAATATATGACTATTTCATTCATAACTTTTTGGACCAATTAAATTTCACAAAATGAGTTTTTTATTCAGTCAATAGCAACATTAAAACAAAACCTTTATAAATTACCTATTCAAACTTCTTGACATTTTCAAGTCTTAATGAAGTTTATATTAATGTTAATAATTCTATTTGTAAATAATTCTGCCAGAGCAGCTATCGATTACGATTTATATTGCAACAAACTTTCTTGCAAAGATAAAGGAAAAAATACAGTTTGTTTGAGAAAAGATGAAAAATGTGAGCCAGTCAAAACATGCGCAAAATTTCCAATGACTGGCGATCACCGTGAGGCAGTAAGGACCATACATAACGAACTAAGGAATAAATTTGCAGGCGGAAAAGATAATGAAACGAGCAAAACAGCCTCAAATATGATGGTTATAAATTATGACATAGCATTGGAAGAAGTTATGAGGTATATGATATTTACTTGGTATAAAAACACTAGTATTACAATTTTTGTTATAGAAAAAAATTATTTAATTGAAATGATAATTTTAGGTGTTATATACATTCATGTATATTTGATCATGACAAATGTCGAATAACTGAAAAATTTGATAGTGTTGGTCAAAATTTATATTATGCAGAAAACAGTAACCCCAAGTGGGATATGAAAGACGTTATTAAAAGCGCAGCTAATAGCTGGTACTCAGAAATAAAAGATGTGACTTCTGATCAATACGATGGATTTCATTCATCAAGTGGTAAATATTTTTTATAATTTTTAATTTTCATCGTCGTGCATTACAAGATTTTTTCAGGACCGGCAATAGGGCATTTCACTCAAATGGTATGGGCGAAAACCGAATTTATTGGTTGCGCGGCCAGTACATCTACAGATAAGAAAAAATTATATTTTGGGTGCAATTATGGACCTGCAGGAAACGTCCTTCAAACGCCCATTCTAAAGTGGGGTCCACCATGTTCCGAGTGTGAAAAAAGTCTTAAATGCAACTCAAAGTACGAATCCTTGTGTGGAGTCCTCCTTCCTATACCGGATTCATCCCCAACACATTTTAAACTTTTTTTTTCATTTTTTATACCGTTTATTTTTTTAATTAACTAAGTTACCTAGTTGGTTTATGTTCCATAAAATAAACAACAATAAATAATAATAGCTATTACTATTAAAGATTTATTTGCGTTATTTGTTGTTTAATTTGACATTAATACATAAGTGGTTCTGCGCTAATGCAAGAATTTTAAGAAATCATAAATTTTGAATATTAGAGCTTCACGGAGGATAGGATTTCGTATGTTTTTTTTAAACCATCCCTTTGTATATTTGAAATAAGTTATTGTATCTTTTGACACCTTAATATTTTTAAAATATACAATTGTACATACATAAAATATTTATAAAAAATCTACTTACTGAGATATTACACTTCACGGTGTATAGATTTTTAATTAGCAAATTAATGAACTTAAACTTTTGAATTAAAAAACAGCAACACTCTCATCTGCATATAAATTCTAACTGACCTTCAGTAATCACATGCATCTATAATGTCGTAAACAGAGGTTTTTGCTTATTTAAAATGATTAAAGCGCCATCCGTTGCATAAAATTTAAAGCAAAAACAGATTCACGGAGGATAGAATCAATTTTTGTAACACCTACATAAATTACTACCTCAGATATTTGAAAACATATAGGTTAACCTAGAAAGAGTAACAGTCACGGAGGATAGGTTTTAGACTTTTAAAACATTGTAAAAAATAATTACCTAATTGCGGTTAAAAATCTGTGAGTTGTAATATCTACTTAATTATGAAAAATCAAAACACAATAAAAGTATAGGTCAAACTCATTAGTTTTATGACATAGATAATAAATCATAATGATTTATGATTACTCCTAGGTGATTACTACAGTAACATTAAAACATTCAAAAATAAATTATTTAATTTTTTTGACATGTTAATATTAATAATAATAATTCTATTTTTAAATAATTCTATTAAAGCCCTAGATTACGAATTATATTGCAACGAACTTTATTGCGACGAAGAAAAAAATACGGTCTGCTTAAGAAAATATGATCAATGTGAGCCAAGGCAAAATTGCGAAAACCTGCCAATGTCCGCTGAAACCCGAGAAGAAGTAAGGACGCAACATAACGAATTTAGGAATAAATTTGCAGGCGGAAAAGACGATGAAATGACCAATACAACGTCAAATATGATGGTTATAAATTATGACATGGAATTGGAAGAAGTTGTAAGGTGCGCTATAAATAAATAAATACGATTTAAAAGTATAAGGTTAAATTAGATAACTCTACACACCTTTCACAATACATTGTGAATTATAATTAATCATATATTAAATCACGAGAACTATGAATTTAATCGGTTAAACTAGGCTCAGTAGTTTTTTGTTTGGTTTTTCTTGGAAAATGTTGAATGCAAAATAATTTAATAAAATCACTAGACCGCGTAGCGGTCGAGGGGTTTTATTTTTAATTATTTTGCATGAAACTATTTTCCAAAAAGAAAAATCAAATAAAAAACTTACTGAGCATAGTTTGACAGATTAAATTTATAGGTTGAGTGATATACGTCTAGATTATTTCTCGAATTAAAGGAAACTATTTGACAATTCATAAAATCTGACGTATATACATATATATATATATATATATATATATCTGACACATATGTGTCAAAACTTATAAATATTTTTTTAAAGAAAATTCCATTAATTTAAGGTGTGTAATAAGTAATATTGGATATTTCGTAAACTAGATAACTTATTTTTTATTGTTTTTAAAAAAATGTTTGTTAAAACTTGTAAATAACACCATAAAATCGTAAACAAAAATCCAATATGGAGGCTAAAATTTAATCGCTGTTAAATAGTTCTAGTGATTTAATCGCTTATTTGAACGAAATTTATTCGAAAATTCAAGGCTTTTGATTGGTTTATATTATAATGAGGGAAATAATCGCTGTTAAATAGTTCTAGTGATTTAATCGTTTATTTAAACGAAATTTATTCGAAAATTAAAGGCTTTTGATTGGTTCATATTATAATGAGGGAAATAATCCAAATAATATTTTAAGGTGTCACATAAATACATGTATATGGGGTCATGACAAATGTCGACGTACCGAAAAATTTGAAAGGCCCGGTCAAAATTTATATCAAAAGACTGGAGGTGACAACGATCTAAAAGTTGTCATTAAATCCGCAGTTAAACGCTGGTACCAAGAGATAAAATATATGACCCCCAATCAATACGACAGCTTTTATCCACCGAAAACAGGTAAATATTTGTTTTATGATTCTTAACATTCCAGGATTATTCACATGTAGTTATAGAGCTCGTAGCAAAATATTTTCCCAAATATGCATTAGAAGTTTTTTATGTTTTTTGTGATACGCCACTGGTTACACACTTGTGTTCTGTGAGTACATGGATACCAACCAAAAAAGTAGCTGCGTTGCCAGTTGTAAAAAATTGTTACTAAAATTTTGTCTTTCAAAAAATAAATACAAGTTTTATGCACTTAAAGCTCTAATACCCTTCTTTTGTAGGGATGTATTGCCGATGGGGTCAGGGAAATCACTTGTCACACTTTAGTTCGTTTTAAACAGTTTATTAATAACAAATATCAAAATTAAGTTTTCATACAAATCATTCGCCATTACATTCTCTTTCTGTCATTTTAACAGTATTGCCAACTTTATTTATTTCCGCTCAACACTACTACCAACTTAAATAAGTCGCCTACACTGTATTTATTTACTCATCCAGCTATTAGCTTAAGCAATGATTAGAAAATTTAGATACTTACAATTTTCAGCATCAACAAAACAACAGATTGGCCATTTCACTCAGTTGGTATGGGCAAAAACTGAATTCGTTGGTTGTGCGGCGAGTAAGTCATCAGATGGGTCGGAATTATATTTTGGGTGCAATTATGGGCCTGGAGGAAACGTCCTTGACACGTCAATTTTAAAGTGGGGTCCGCCATGTTCTGTATGCAAAAATGGTCTTAAATGCAACGAGAAGTACGAATCTCTTTGTGGTGTCCTCCTCGCTATTCCGGACTCGTCCCCAACACATTTTAAAACATTTCCTTTTTTGTTTTATTTATTTAGTGGAGTTGGTTTATGTTTTATAAAATAAACAACAATAAATAATATAGCTATTATTATTTATTGTTGTTTATTTTTTAATAATAGAGATTAAACAAATTAGTAAATAGTATTTAAAAAATATCGCTTTTTTTACTGTATTTCAAAACGTTATTACATACAAAATAAAATTAAATACTGAATAACTAGTTTGTAACGCGCAAAATAATAATAGCGATACGGCGCCATCTCGTGACACAGTTACAAACTACATGGATTACAGAGTTCTTTTATATGCAATGCTAAAGTGCTCCAGTGTATTTTATAACAAAGCTGTTTTTATTTAGTATAATAATAATACTGATCAACTTTGGAGTAGGTATATCACGGTGCTGTTCTGAGAGGTGATTTTTGGACTTTATATTTTTGTTAATTAGGTCATAACTAAAATTTTAAGAGCAAAATAAAAAAAATTGACGGTTTGAATTGTTTTAATTGGCTGTTTATTAAAAATATTATGCACTCTTTCAATTATCCAATTAAAACCAGCGATTTAATTTAAATATTTAATATTTGCATAACTAAAAATAAGGTTCTTACAATTTTTTTTATATATTTTACCGTTTTGTTGCAATAAACGTTCAAACTTTTAATCTATAGATTATAACCTTTGACGTATACATTTATGTTCCCTTAATTAATATATCCTTAAAGGTTGCCATAAAACTTGGATCTACTAAAAATTTATTTGACGTTTTATACGTATTCTATAATTTTTGTTTAGTTTTTTTAAGTGTTTTTTATAAACAAAAATGAAAAATTGTAGTAAAAGTTACGAAGAAATTCATGAAATTTAACTAAGGACCGGTTTATTCATCTTTAGTAAAGTTTATCGGGCCGATAACTTTCATGTCTTGGCAATATCTAGTATCCAAAGAAATTATTCGTCAAATAAATCAAAAATGAATAAATCGGTCCTAAATAAAATTAGAATTATTGTTTAATAAATGTATACTATACATTTAACCTTAAATTAAAACTTTAAACGTGTATTACAACAAAACAGTAAAAGATATAAAAAATGTATAGACCTTTTTTTAGGAAATTAACTAATCTTTAATCTGATTTAAAAAGTTATGATAATATTTAAATAAAATCGCAAGTTTTAATTGGAGAATTGAAAGTGTGCATACATATTTTTAATAAACATCCAATTAAAACAAAACTAACCGTCAATTTTTTTTTATTTTGCTCTTAAAATTTTAGTTATGACCTAATTAACAAGAATATAAAAAATTAGGTTTCACAGAAAGTCCAAAAATCACCTCTCAGAACAGCACCCTGATGTAGCTATAGTAACATTTAAACATGCGAAACCATGGCATATTTTTTAAATTACTTGACATTTAAGTCATAATAAAGTTGATATAATTAATTCCACTTTTAATTAAGTTATCTTGCATTGGTAAATTGTTTAAACTTCTTGACATGTTCAAGTCATAATGAAGTTTACATCGATATTAATAATTATTTTCTTAAATAATTCTGCCAGAGCAAAACTCGATTACGATTTGTTTTGCAAGGAACTATCATGCAAAGATGAGAAAAACACGGTTTGTCTGAGAAAAGATGAGAAATGCCAATCGACTAAAAATTGCGATAATGTGCCATTGACTCCTGACCACCGTCAATTAATAGTAGACTTACATAACGAATACAGAAATAAATTTGCTGGTGGAAAAGACTCCCAGAAGACAACTTCAAATATGATGGTTATAAATTATGACATGGAATTGGAGGAAGTTCACACGTAAGTTAATTATATAATTATGTAGGTATATACAGGATTTACATTTTTTAAGTCAATGTAGAAAATATGTAATTTGATCTATACTCTAAAGAACTTTCGCTAGTAGCGCCACCACTCGGCGGTTATCATCCTAACAAAAGTATAACTTTTAATAATCAGCTGTCAAACGCTTATGTTACAAACGAGTGTTTTTGAGAATAAAGCCGGAAAATGTTAAAATATATTGAAAAAAAGCGTGACTCGATTTGTTGTGTTGTTGGGTGTATTTCGAGAGGAAATCCTGGGTTGAGTTTTTACCGGTTTTCCAATAAACAGTGTTAATCTGAATGAAGAAATAAATTGCATACAGTTTCTGTAAATATAAATTGTACCTATTAGATACAATAAATACACATTTTAGTAGTGATTAACGTAAAAGTGTAAACATTTCAATTCAGTAAAAATCCTCAAACAAATAAGTCGTCTAAATTTAAACAGCATTTAGCATTATTAAAAGCGTTGATTAAGAAAGTCTTCACTCAACTGTAATATTATGTATTATATACAGGGTGTCCGGGAAAAGGAGGTCAATCCGTTAACCATATATTCCTTGAGTTAAAACAATAAGACTTCCATAATACCATTTTTCAATTTAGAGCTTCATGTTCGATATATACAGGGCGACAAAGTTTGAAATTTAAAACTGATTTTTTTTAATAATTCGAGTAATTGATAAGATATTAAGTTTAAATTCGGTACACTACTTCAACATAAATAGTTAAATTTTTTGAGACCAACAAAACAAAAAACAATTGTTAAATAATCAAAATAGGGGGGTCCAGTACTCACTGATTCCCCCTATGTTTTAGTACGTGCGCCAATGACTTCCAAACGGTATTTTTTCAGGTAATCATTTATTGTTAAAAAAAATTTGTCTCTTATAAAATTTTGATAAAATGATTTGTTTTAGAGATAATTTGTAAAGTATGGGTCAGTCCATATCAAATCAACCAAAGGTTCTTCCCCCACCATCTCCGATTTTGATCATTTTTGGTAAATTTGTTTACCTCACTAAAAAACTCAAAAATCCCAAATATGAATTTTTTTCGATAGGTGGTTTTTGTTTTATTGATTTTTGAAAATCAAAAAATTCCGATAAATTTGGGTCTTGCAAGTACTTACAAAAATAGCGATATCTCGTAAACTATTAAAAGTAGAAAGGTGAGTGATGGCTTATTTTAAAGGCCTATTAGAGAACTTTTTTATGATATATCACATGACCTACATTTTTTCAAAAAAAAATTAAATTTCGAAAATTTGATATGGACTGACCCATACTTTACAAATTATCTCTAAAACAAATCATTTTATCAAAATTTTATAAGAGACAAAACATTTTCAACAATAAATGATTACCTGAAAAAATTCTGTTTGGAAGTCATTGGCGCACGTACTAAAAAATAGGGGGAGTCAGTGAGTACTGGACCCCCCTATTTTGATTATTTGACAATTGTTTTTTGTTTTGTTGGTCTCAAAAAATTTAACTATTTATGTTGAAGTAGTGTACCGAATTTAAACTTAGTATCTTATCAATTACTCGAATTATTAAAAAAAAATCAGTTTTTAATTTCAAACTTTGTCGCCCTGTATATCGAACATGAAGGCCTAAATTGAAAAATGGTATTATGAAAGTCTTATTGTTTTAACTCAAGGAATATATGGTTAATGGATTGACCTCCTTTTCCCGGACACCCTGTATAATATTATGTTGCCATGAATTCGTAGGTATATTTTGTTGTTTAAAATGCAGTTGTCGGCGTTTTTTAGAGAACTCAAATATAAAAATGGTTATGTTTGTGCAAAAATTATTTTTTACTAATTTTTTAAAAATATCCAAACTTAAATATAAATTGTATCAGGTAAAGTTATCATTAGTTTTTTCTGCACCAACAAATGTACTTACCGAATTGAATCCTTTGGCAAAACATGAAAATGCAACGATTTAGTTCTTGAATTTTATTTACAATTAAAAACATAATAATTCACCATGATCCCTTAGATAAAATGCAGTGCATCATGCATTTAATGCACACACTAACGTAAGTATTTATGCGTTGAGTTTCTTAATCAATAAACGAAAACCCGATACATCTTTAGCGTATTTAAATATTATTTTTAGGTGTCATTTAAATACATGTACCATGGGTCATGACAAGTGCCGTAAGGTGAAAAGATTTAATTGTGGTCAAAACTTATATTTTCGACGAGATGAACATTACGAAGTAGATAACATAATGAAAACCGCAATGAGAGTCTGGTACGCAGAAAAAGTAAATATGACTCCTGAAGTATACGAGGGATATCATGATAATGGTAAATATTTTTAGTATATGGGTGAATACCAGGTCTAGTATAGTAATAACATAACATAAGTGGTTCTGCACTATAGTGCATTATAATGCAAGAATTTTAAAAAACCATTTATTCTGAATATTAAAGCTTCACGGAGGTTAGGATTTCGTATGTTTTTTTTAAACATCCCTTTGTATATTTGAAATTAGTTATTGTATCTTTTGACACCTTAATATTTTTTTTAAATAGAATTGTACATACAAAAAATATTTATAAAACAAATCTATTTACTGAGATATTACACTTCACGGTGGAGAGGTTTTTAAAATAGCAAATTATTGAACTTAAATTTTTGAATTATAAAACAGCAACACTCTCATCTGCATATAAATTCTGACTTTCAGGAATCACATGCATCTATAGGTAATGTCGTAAACAGAGGTTTTGCTTATTTAAAATGATTAAAGCGCCATCCGTTGCATAAAATTTAAAGCAAAAACAGATTCACGGAGGGTAGAATCAATTGTTGTAACACCTACATAAATGGTTATAAAAATTATTTCTTTTAATTTTTAATAATATTTTATATTTGATTCGATTGCTTTGGATGTGTTTAATTTACTTAGTGAACTGATATTTTAGTATGGTTTTACTACCTCAGATATTTAAAAACATATACATAGGTTAACCTAGAAAGAGTAACAGTCACGGAGGATAGGATTTAGACTTTTAAAACATTGTAAAAAATGATTAATTGCGGTTAAAAATCTGGAACCTGAGCTGTAATATCTACTTATTTTCAGGAAAAGAGGTCGGACATTTCACTGCATTAGTGTGGGCTAAATCGAGCCTTATTGGGTGCGCTCTCAATTTAAAAACGGACATCCCCGATTATAAGTATGAAATATATTTCGGATGTAACTATGGGACTGCAGGCAACGTATTTCAAAAGCCCGTCGTTAATTGGGGACCACCATGTTCTGCGTGTGAAGAGAATCTTAAATGCAACTCCAAGTACGAATCTCTTTGCGGGGTCCTGCTCGCTATCCCAGGCGCGGCGTCCCAAGGTCGACCCAGTTCGTCCACAACCCAACTAAGAAAAATGCTTGCTTTAAATTTTATTTTTATTTATCTATTTAATATTTCAGACAGTTTATATTGTATAAAATAAAGAATAAAACAGAAATAAATATTATTTGAGGCCCCTACAATCCCCTAGATGGCCAAGGAATAGACGTAAAATTGAAGAAAAAAAATGTACAAGTGCTATACATTATGAGATCCATTATGAAAATTTTTTTTATCACGATACAGATTTTTAATGAATAAAAATGCAGTAAACGACAATATTTTTTTTATAACACTTCCAGATGTAGAAAGGCATTGATGAATATAGATATTATTATTTGACCAAGAAAACAGTTCTATACCGTTTACAAAAACGTTTTGTAGTATTAATGAAACCCTAATGGTATTATTCATAGAAATTTTGTAAGTTTTACAAATCCCTTTTTGTTTAAAATAAAACTTTTTTAATAATATTTATAAAGTTTATGTAAATTTAACAACAAATTAATTGTTAATTCAATAAACTATTTTCATTGTAACAATGGTCACATTTTCAACCTATAATTGGGTGCTGGGTAGTTTTTTTTTAAATAATTGCAAGGCATTAAAACAAATTATTTATTATAACAAAAAATAGTATATTACACTACAAGGGCAGAAAGTGTGAGATTCCTGCACTGCGCCATGATGGCATCATGGCGCGCAGTTCAGGGCTCTCACACTTTCTGCCCGTGTAGTGTATACTATTTTTCTTACTACTTCGGCCGAAAATACAACCCGGCCGAAAATACGGGAAAAAATTAAATGTGTATTTATGTACCTATCTCCACAATCCACACAACAAGGTCTGTTCTTTAGCAGTTCGCGCAGACTGAAAATCACAAAATACTTGCCGCCATATTGTTTGTTTACGTTCTAAGCGGGTAGATTTTGATTTGGTTTAATTTTGTGCCTTATTTGCCTCAATACAGACTTATAAACGTTGTTAGGTGTTTGAACCAGTTATTTAGTTGTTTATTTGTGTTTTGACTGTACTAGTGTACCTTTTTGAACCTCAATTGTGCAAATCTTGTGTTTAACCAGTAAGTAAATTCTAATTCTAAAATATTAGGACGTTTTTTATAACTCTTGGTATAAAAAGTAAAAAAAGGGCAAGTAAAAACCTTAAAAAAGTTTAAATTAACTGGTAAAATACATAAATATATATTTTTAATTTTGACAGATTGGAGGTTATAATTTGTTCCATAATTTGTTTCTACACCTAATAAACCATAGAACCTATGAACAAACAAACTATATAATAATAATAATATAATAACCATAATTTCGGGAAATTTAAACTACGATAACGGCCGGTATCAAACTTTTATTTCGGGGATTTTAAAATACCCGCGACAAGATGGCGGCAAGTGCTTGATGACGTAGGTGCGCACAACTGCACCGATTTTGGTTTAAATTTTTAAGCTAAAGAACAGACCTTGTTGTGTGGATTGTGCCTATCTCCATTTGAAGAGCTTGATAAATAAATGACAGTAGGCCGTAAATTCAGCGGTGCCAATACAGTAAAAATAAAACGTTGTATTTTAATTAACAAATGACTACTTTATAACAAATAAAAGTACCATTAAACACTTAAAATAACATAAAAAGTAAAAAAGTAAAAACATAAATTGTTTATTTGTTGTTATAATTGCAAAATTATGGTTTAAAACTGTCATATTTTTGTGTTTCTCATGTTGGCAGTACGAAATTTGAATGTTAAGCACACGACTAAAAAATTTTTACTTCCGCTATTAGAGTGTGCGCGTATAGCTTGACCAATGCATAAAACGTAAACTTTCTGCCGTGGAATCGGGGACGAAACAACGTATTTTGAGTCGAGGTAGTAAGAAAAATTATTATTATATGATGTACAAAATAAAAAAATATGAACTCACTTTTTAAAAAACAAGTCTGCTTCGTTTATAGAATATTTCTTTTAAAATTTTAATTTTCTTAGTGATCTTTTTGATATTTTTAACATGCTAGATTTAACCACACTTCACTTGCACAAGTGAAAAAAGCAGTATCTTTGGGAAATTTTTTTTATAATATTTTTCTCTTACACATTAATCACATAACACCGGGTATAACTATAAAACATGCGAAACCTTGACATAATATTATTATTATTATTATTTTGTAAATTACTTGACATTTAAGTCATAATAAAGTTGATATAATTAATTCTACTTTTAAGTTATCTTGCATTGATAAATTGTTTAAACTTCTTGACATGTTCAAGTCATAATGAAGTTTACATCGATATTAATAATTATTTTCTTAAATAATTCTGCCAGAGCAGAACTCGATTACGATTTATTTTGCAAGGAACTATCATGCAAAGATGTAAAAAACACGGTTTGTCTGAGAAAAGATGAGAAATGCCAGTCGACTAAAAATTGCGATAATGTGCCATTGTCTGCTGACCACCGTCAAACAATAGTAGACTTGCATAACGAATACAGAAATAAGTTTGCTGGTGGAAAGGACTCCCAGAAGACAACTTCAAATATGAATGTTATAAATTATGACATGGAATTGGAGGAAGTTCACACGTAAGTTAATTATATAATAATGAATATACAGGATTTACATTTTTTAATTCAATGTAGAAAATATGTTATTTGATCTATACTCTAAAGAACTTTCGCTAGAAGCGCCACCACTCGGCTGTTATCATCGTAACAAAAGTAGAACTTTTAATAATCAGCTGTCAAACGCTTATTTAACAAACGTTTTTGAGAATAAAGCCGGAAAATGTTAAAAAGTATCGAAAAAAAAACCGTGGCTCGATTTGTTGTGTTGTTGGGTGTATTTCGAGAGGAAATCCTGGGTTGAGTTTTTACCGGTTTTCCGATAAACAGTGTTAATCTGAATGAAGAAATAAATTGCATGCACACTGTTCAAAATTTTAGCTAATTTTTACCTAAAATATTAGACTATATAGGACCATTGATTTTTTAAGGCAAACTGCCTGAAATGAATTCAGAGGAATATTCCCCTTTTAAATTAGTGAATTCTTTAACTGATATTTTTAAAGAAAATGATACAATTAATTAAGCAAAATTACTTAGGTTTCAAAGATGATACACCTTAGATCGTAAGGGATATTGCCTGAGAATAAAAGAATAAATTTCCTGTTTCTAAGGCAATTTGCTTAAATTTTTAGGTAGATTATATATATTTTTAGTGAAAATCCTCTTATTTTTCACGGTAAATTTATCTAATTTTTTTAGATATACCCTTTTTTCGGGTAATTTTCTACAATTTTTTTAGTAAAATTCTACTAACTTTCTAGTAAAATTTTACTTATTTTCTAGTGAAATTCTACTATTTCATTAAATAAAAATATAAGGGGAACAAGAATTGGCGGTGGGGGCATTTAGGAGAGAAGATATTTATAATGTCATTTTTATTCTCACGCATTGCTTTGATAATATACTATTTTGGAAATATACTATTGTAAATGTTAAATATTATTGTAAAAAGTTACCGATAACCTACTCTCTAAAAATGAAATAGTCAAAATTCTACTATTTGAATTAGTAAAAGCATTTTTTACTAATAAAATAGTCGTTTTCACTTTTAAATAGTTATTTTTTACTATGTAAATAGTTAAAGTTTGACTAATTTAAGATTAGTCACCATATTTGACTATTTCTGACAGTTAAAAGTAACTAATTTCTTTAGTCGTTTACGGCCAACAACAAAGTATGATTTGAATTAAATGCATATACCTCTCCATGGTTAAATGACCCATAAAACAAATAAAGATGCAAAAAGTTTAGCTTAAAATAGCAAGACAAATAATATATTAAACTTTAAAATATTATTAACCATATTTATTGATAAATAAAATTAATTTTTATAAGAGCGGCTGACAGCCGAATGCGTTAAGACGTTAGCTTGACAAACTTGTCAAGTGACAGACCTGAGTTCAATCCCAGGCTGGGTCAAAACTTTTTTTAAATTTAAATTTACTGATTTGACTATTTCATTCAGTGGAATTTGACTAATTATTAGTGACTGCTTTTTCACTATGACAATTAGTCAAATATGACTTATAATTAGTTATTTTTGACTAATTCATTTTAAGAGAGTAGTAGTGTTTATCCCTATATCGAGCAATGTAAATGAGAAAAGAATGACATTATAAATCCCCCTTTTAAGTGCTGATGGGTAAAATAAAAAATACATTTATTTTAGTTAAATTGAAAATGTATATTAATAAATATGTATAAATAAAAAAAATAAAAGTAACAAAAACGACAATAAAACTTATAGGTATACCTACTTTATAAGTTTAATAAAGTTTCTTTTGGCATAGGAATTTTCTTCCAAGTTAGGACTCCTTTATCTTTATGTCCTAGGCGAATTAACAACGGCGGTTCCGGTACTACAGGGTTGGGATTATTTAAAAATAAATTGGGGTCAATGGAAAATTCCATTTAGTTTGGATTACTTAACTATAGCACTTCAAAATGTTCACTTATAGCACAATATTTTTTAACTGTTGTTATATCAATAGCACACAACGCGGTCTTTACGTTTTCGTTGATTTTGGCATTCTGGTGGACAATATAGGCGCAAATATTTATCGTAAAACGTCGGTATTAGCGATCGTGGCCGATTGTAAGTAAGTCACTAATATTTAAAGGAATTTACCTAAATTAGTTCAATAATTTGCCATAATAACTTAGAAGAATTACCTAAATTAAAAGCAAAATTGTCGTACCTAAAAGTCATTGAGATTTTGACTAAATATTTAGGTAATCTGCCTATCTTTTTAAATTTGAGAAGTTTATTAAGTAAAGTATGAATATTTATCTAGAAGTTAGTGAATACACCATAGAACAAAGGCATTAGTTTCTGCCTAATAAACGAGAAGGTAAATTGCTTTACTCGTTTAAGCATATTACCTTATTTTTTCTTAACTAATTCTGATTAGGTATTTCAAAAGGCTTGATTTTGAACAGTGCAGTCTCTGTAAATATAAATTGTACACATTTTAGTAATGATTAACGTGAAAAGTGTAAACATTTCAATTCAGTTAAAATCGTCAAACAAATAAGTCGTCTAAATTTAATCAGCATTTAGCATTATTAAAAGCGTTGATTAAGAAAGTCTTCACTCAACGGTAAAATACGGTTATGTTATGTATTATATATAATAATATGTTGCCATGAATTCGTAGGTATATTTTGTTGTTAAAAATGCAGTTGTCGGCGTTTTTTAGAAAACTCAAATATAAAAATGGTTGATTTTAAGGTTATGTTTGTGCAAAAATTATGTTTTACTAATTTCTTAAAAATGTCCAAACTTAAATATAAATTGTATTAGGTAAAGTTATCATTAGTTAATTTTGCACCAACAAATTTACTTACCGAATTGGATCCTTTGGCAAAACATGAAAATGCAACGATTTAGTTCTTGAATTTTATTTACAATTAAAAACACAATAATTCACCATGATCCCTTAGATAAAATACACACACTAAAGTAACTATATAAGTATTTAAGCGTTGAGTTTCTTAATCAATAAACGAAAACCCGATACTTCTTTAGCGTATTTAAATATTATTTTTAGGTGTCATTTAAATACATGTACCATGGGTCATGACAAGTGTCGCAAGGTGAAAAGATTTAATTGTGGTCAAAATTTATATTTTCGACGAGATGAACACTACGAAGTAGATAACATAATGAAAACCGCAATGAGAGTCTGGTATGCAGAGAAAGTAAATATGACTCCTGATATATACGAGGGATATTACGATAGTGGTAAATATTTTTAGTTGATAACATTTGAGGCATGTCATAGCAAAACCGACAATCTCCACTTTTGGTAAGAAATTAGATTTTTGGCGGAGACTGTACTTCAACTAATTATCTATAAGATGTGCTGCAAAAGGAGCTAAAACCTGCCTAAAATCCTATTTTAAAAATGACATTTAGTGCAAAGTCGACAATCTCCACTAATAGATTTGCAGCAAAGTATACAATCTCCAATTCCACCATTAGAAATTAGTAATTTGTGTCACCTGATATCCTAACATTTGATGTTATAACGTATTTTAGAGATTTAATTTTGTGTTTTTTACTGGGCAAAGTGGGAAGAAGATGATGAGTTGTTGTACTATAAAAACTTTTTTGCACGAGGCAACCTGGTCCCAGATTTAGAAGAAACTCCAGATTTATGTGGTCCAGTTCAGATTTTCCCACATTGATTGTATAGTTAAATTTTATACCCATTAAAGGAATAAAAAAACAATTATTTTTTTGTTTATTTTTCTAAATCTCCTTAAACGTTTACAACAAAATGAGCAATCTCCAGCAATTCATATCAAAGTCAGCAATTTCCAATTTATAATTATAGATTTCACCCATACTATGCATCCTGGAGACCTTGTAGTTGGCTACTAGACAAACAATATTTCAATATAATATATAAAAAAATTACAAATCTAAAATACCAAAATCAATTATCTCAATTAACTCAGTTTTAGTCTGATGGGAGATTGTTGACTTTGCTCTGACAGGCCTCATTTTACATGTAATAAAATATTTTTTTAGGAAGAGATGTCGGACATTTCACTGCATTAGTGTGGGCTAAATCGAGCCTTATTGGGTGCGCTCTCAATTTAAAAACGGACATACCCGATTATAAGTATGAAATATATTTCGGATGCAATTATGGCACTGCAGGCAACGTATTTCAAAAGCCCGTCGTTAATTGGGGACCACCATGTTCTGCGTGTGAAGAGAATCTTAAATGCAACACCAAGTACGAATCTCTTTGCGGGGTCTTGCTCGCTATTCCAGGCGCGGCGTCCCAACGTCGACCGAGTTCGTCCAAAACCCAATTAAGAAAAATGTTTGCTTTAAATTTTATTTTTATTTATCTATTTAATATTTCAGTCAGTTTATATTGCATAAAATAAAAAATAAAACAGAAATATATATTATTTGAAGCCCCTACAATCTCCTAGATATATCTATAGATAAATAGAGGTAAAATTGAATTGTTACGGCAAAAAGATCATTTTTATAAAAAATTTCGTTTAAAATAAAACTTATTTTATAATATTAATAAAATTTATGTAAATTTAACAACATTTTTAACCTACTGTTGTGTGCTGGGTAGTCTTTTTTTAATAATTGCAAGGCATTAAAACAAATTATTTATTATATGATGTACAAAACAAAAAAATATAAACTCACTTTTTAAACAACAAGTCTGCTTCGTTTACAGAATTAAACCTTAAATATTTCTTTTAGAAAACGTCGAAATTTTAATTTTCTTAGTGATCTTTTTGATATTTTTAACATGCTAGATTTAACCACACTTCACTCGCACAAGTGAAATCAATAAGATTATAACATACTGTGGATTATAAAGTTATGTTCACCAAGGAGAGCGCTGGCCCTTTCCCCCTCTTTTTAAGGGAAATAACAAAAATTTTGTTAACATTGCAAAACAATGGTAAATATTAAAAAAGTCTTTTTATAGCAATAAAATATTTTTGTTATTGTTCTTAACGTAAGCTATTAACAAAGATTGTCTAACTGAAATAAAATTAGTTTGAATTACAACGTATAGTATATAGTATAGTATAGTAAAATGAACAAAATTTACTATAACAACTGCGCATTACTTTATGAAAGCGCAATTCACACACAACTATAGATTTAACAAAAACATTTTAAGTTCGACAAAGATTTAATATAAACAAAGTATTTCATATAACCATGACAATATGATAACATATATTACTTAAAGTAATTTACTTTGTTGGTTGAACATTTTTTTTATAAAAGCTCAACATGCTGCTTCGTTATAGTTAAAATTAAACAACTTATTACCAGTAGACTCAGCAATAAAGTACATAATTAAAGTGTTAATTTTCTACTTATAATAGTCGTAGAAAATTAGTATACGGAACTCCCATTTACATCGCTATTAAGACACTAACATTAACATGTACATATTTATCATTTAAATAGTTACACAAATTGCAAAAATTAGAACACATTTATTTTTATTATATACCCAATTTCTGCAATTTGTAAAACTATTTAAATGATAATTATGTACATAAAATATGAATTTTGTAATGCCATACTTCATGAAAACTTAAGGTATACCTACGCATAAAAAATGATAACATAAATTATGATTTTAAAATAGCACACTAAACAAAATTATCACAATTCTAATTAAGCAATTTTTAAAAACAGTATAAAACCAAAAAAAATACATTTATCTAAAGTCATAGTTCCACAATGAATTCTTCCTTCAACTATTTGATTGTTTTCGCCATCGTAGCTGTTGTAGTGGTTGGCGCAAAATCACAAGGGAGTTGTGCTTGCGATTTAATGAAATGCCTGAAAGTTGAAAAATGCGATGAGGGAGAAAAAAAAGTCCCTTACGGACCTTGCAATTGCTGTCACATGTGTGTTCCAGAATATACAGGTAAAATTTAACACAAAAAATGTAGAAATGGTTTTAAAATATAAATTAAATCCTTATTTCTTTTTAGATGACGTTGACCCCTTAAATGGATGTACCCAAGAAGTTTGCGAAAAAGTCAAGTGCCTAAAGAATTCAAATTGTGCTAAAGATGAAGTTAGAAGTGTGTATGGACCTTGCAAATGCTGTGCTATATGCATCCCAGCAAGCTTAGGTATTTGATACATTTTATTACTATGGAATCACTAGAAAAACCAAGACGTTTTTTATTAAATTAACTCTTTTAAACAGCTAACAATTAACTGAAAACGTTTCAATAGATAATTTAATGAAAAAAAACTGCTCTACAAGAAAGGTTTTATTAAATTTTGCTATAAGTTTTACAAGAAAAATAGGAAAATCTTGAAATTTATAGCATAACTTTTGATAAGTGAATTTCTCATAAAATGATAAAATACCTTTTTGTAGAGCGTTCAATTTACCACAAAAATAGGTATAAATCCTAAAGCTTGTTTATTAGGTAATACAAGTTTTTGGTATATGTTATATTTTAAGATAAAATAATTTATATAATTATTGTTTCAGTTCCATTACCCAGTGAATTGACCATGGAAGGCATAGATATAGAAGTTAATTAAATAAAAATTTTGGATTTTGTGTAATTATTTATAGTGTCTTAAAATTGAACAAAATATAAAGTTAAAAATAAAATAATAACAAAGTTATGAAGATTAAGTTTTATTTTTTTAAACATTTTATTTTTGGTTGTTTCAATGTTAGTCTAGAATGGGGTTTTTGGGAAGCCACCAGGTCTAGTAATAACATAACATAAGTGGTTCTGCACTAATGTAAGAATTTTGAGAAATCATACATTTTGAATATTAGAGCTTCACGGAGGTTAGGATTTCGAATGTTCGTATCTTTTGTCATATTAATATTCTTTAACAATACAATTGTACATAAATAAAATATTTATAAAAATAATCTACTTACTGAGATATTACACTTCACGGTGGATAGGTTTTTAAATAGCAAATTGAATGAATTATAAAACAGCCACACTCTCATCTGCATATAAATTCTAACTGACCTTCAGGAATCACATACACATATAATGTCGTAAACAGAGGTTTTCGCTTATTTAAAATGATTAAAGCGCCACCCGTTGCATAAAATTTAAAGCAAAAACAGATTCACGGAGGATAGAATCAATTTTTGTAACACCTACATAAATGGTTATCAAAATTATTTCTTTTAATTTTTAATAATAATTTATATTTGATTCGATTGCTTTGGATGTGTTTAATTTACTTAGTGAACTGATATTTTTAGTATGCTTTTAGTACCTCAGATATTTGAAAGCATATAGGTTAACCTAGAAAGAGTAATAGTCACGGAGTATAGGTTTTAGACTCAATAAAAGTGTAGTTTAGTTTCATTTTGTGAGATTCACCCATTTGTATAATTAAGCATAAATATAAAATAAAATAAGGAAATTACCTTGACAAAAACTTGCCATGCTTGTCATTAACAGGTGGTATTTATTTACCAGTAATTTGTGAATCACATTTAAATTTTTACTCGCAAGGTAATTGCATATCGGTAAGCGTAAATTAACTTCAGTATAAATAAATAGTGCTATTTTTATCATTGCTATAGCGTATACGCATTAGTTAGTTATAACGTACCCATAGAGACAAAAATTTCGACCATGAGAGTAAATTTAATATTTTTTATGGTTTTGTCTCTTTCTATTTACGCTGTAAATACCAAAACAACAGACGGTTGTACAAAAGAGGTCTGTGAATACGCGAAATGCATCAAAACTGAATCATGTCCAGATGAAGAAATCAGAGTTCCTTATGGCCCATGCAAATGTTGTGCCATTTGTATTTCAAAAAATACAGGTAAGGCTTTAATATAACACTTATCAAAAGCAATTTGTAGCCCAGACAATTTATATGTAAAATTATCCGAATATTCCTACAAAAGTATAACAGTTTTTGACATATTTTATCATACTTCCTAATAAAAATTAGGAGATTGGATTTCGGATTAAATGTGGGGAAATTTATTTTTATTTTTGTGTTAATTTGTATTGAATATTTCTTTCAGCAACCTAAGAAGAAGCTTTACCAAGGATGTCTAATGCAAGGAGTACTTCTTTTCTTTGTTAAAATGAAGGAGATGGATCTCCAGCTAATGTTAAGAAAAAAAGTCTAATTTGTTCTAAATCTAGATTAGTCTTTGAAATACAGAGTACTTACTGAAACAAAAATGTTTGTAGTTTTATTTTTTTATTAGTTTTGGTTACAAATAATAAGCACTTGCCAAACCATTAATTGATAAAAAAAAATTTAGAATTGTATAATGACTCCAGAAATAATTATAAAATAAATAATTGAAGAGGTTCACAATAAAATCTTATAATTTCAAGTATTGTACTTCAGACAACTATATGTAAAATTATTTGAAGTATGTGTTTGTATCTAAGGCTTGATTAGACTTTTAATTATTTGCATCAACAAATGGTTATGGATAATTTTTCTTTTAAATTCTGAAGACAAATCCTTTACATAATTAAAAAAAGCTTATGTAAAATATTAATAAATTATCTTATTGCTCCAGTATCTGTGCTCATTTAAATGACTCAACATGTAAGTGTTTTCACCAAAAATTATATTTTAGATACTCGAGCTATTTAATATCCTACTTAAAACTGGGTTCAAGTGGATAAACACTTGAACTTGTAAAAAATTAATGTTTATATAATTTTATTAATTTTATCCAAAAATGATGATAAAAATTTAGTATAAATTAAAATCTACGTTGAAGTAAATTCAATTCGCTCATAAAATTCATCGAAGCAAATTCAACATTCAACAATAAACAGCAATGTTCAAACTTACTGCCTTCGTTGCTATTTTATTAGCGTTTTCAGTGTTTTCTTCAGTTTCTGTTGAAAATACAAATGCCATGGCAAGCAAAGAACCTTTGAATATCTCTGGTAAGTGTTTTTTTTTACTTGTCTATAATTTAAATAGGGTGAACTACATAGTTATTGGACACTTAAGGAATATTATTTATTTACAATTCATATATGCCATTGTTTGTTTAAACTTTATTTACGTTTACTTAAAAATAAGAATATTTGAATTTTTAATAGTAGTTTTATAAAAACATGCAAAAAAATATAGATATTGGACATACAATTTTTAAATAAACATAACAACTTTACATCAAATAACATAAATTGTTAAATTGTTGTTTTTTTGTCATTTTTTTATTTCGTTTTTGTAAATATCATATAATTTATATATTTCTTTCTTGAATTCCTCATCCCTTTTCTGGATTCTAAAGGTAACTACTAATTCCTTTGTCTGATTTCTGAAATAGTTTGTTGCAAATATCATTTAGTGTGGTATCTATAGTTTGTGAAGCATTTTTAATGTTTAGGCCGGAACAGGATGATTTATATATATCTAATATTTTTTCGGGTGGTATGTTAAAAGTATTTATAGAACTCTTGTTTTTACAGTATTAATGTTAATTGTTCATTGTTCATGTTCATAAAAACATTATTAGGATCTGTCAAATAGTTTGCGAGTTATTTTCGTTTAAGTTGAACTATTTTTGCGTGGTACAGAAGGTAACTAGTATACCAAATAATATACAGATATTTTTTTTTCAGAATGTCCAGAGTTTTGTAGCCACGTCTACTGTCGCATGTGCCTAGGAATGAAACTACCACCCACACCAGGAAATTGTAATTGCTGTGTACGATGCGATCTATAAATAATAACAAATCTTGTTCAAATGTACGCTTAATTTATATAAATAAATATACATTTTTAATGTCTGTATTTTTAAAACTGAACTTTGGCCTTGAAAAGCGTTTTTGAAAAAAATAAAATGCATGTCGACCTATTTTTCGAATGGTAAATTATTTCTACTTTAATCTGTAAACATAATAAAATAGGTAGGTACTTTAATGAATAATAAAGATATTTTTTTTAAATTTTAAGATCGGATATTTGTATTGTGGGGGAAAAATAAAAAAATAAATCCGGGGGAATCTATTGCATTAAATATATAAATTATTACAATAGTCCCTGATTGTTTCTAAAACAGTACACAAAGTTGTGCCAAGATTCGACACCCTGACGAATCTCCTTAAATACTTCCGCACACCATTCTTTTGGTGTTTTCTTGCTTATAGTTATTCCCCATGCCATCATCCTAGAAACTGTGGTTATACTTCCAAAATGTGATTCTGAACAACTTCTGGCCGCAATAGCCAAAGAATCATCGGTAACTTTTTTTTGTTTTATAAATTCGCGTCCTTTTTCCGTGGCGTCAATACAATTCCTAAAAAATATTTTGCAAATTTAGGGTGATTCAAAACTCGAGGCGAAAAATTAAGAAATGTATACAGTTTTATATTCTTGATAAAAACTGTAAAATAAAATTTTTGAAGATATGGCTTTGTTTCCGAGATATTAGACTTTAAAGTATTTGCATGTGATCAATTTTTAACTTTATTACATAATATAAAAATATAAAAAATAATTAAATCAAATGTTCATAAGTCCAAAGGGTTCAAGTCAGGTGATCTCGCAGGCCATAGCACCTGACCACGCCGACCAATCCATATCCCATTAAAAGTTTGGTTTAACCAGGCGACAACATTTCGTCCTTTGACAAAAGGCGAGTCGTTGCATGTTATCTCCTGGGTGCAAATTATGTACTTTTTGTTTATGAAATGGATGTAAAACTTCGGTTTTTAAGGTTCTCCAAGCAAAACTTTGGGATACATTAAGACGGGCAGCAATGCGTCTGGTACTATTTTCTGGATTATCTATCACTTCTTCTTCCCTCACAGCATCATAATAATTATTTCGGGCAGCACCACCAGCACCAGTACGGGAATTACCAATTCCAAACTGTCGTAACCTTTGATAAGAGTCGGAAAACACCCGGCGAGATGGTCGTTGATTAGGGAATCTTTTGTTGTATTCCCGACAAGCTTTTAATGCGTTGCCATCACAAAAACCGTATAATAACCCTAAATAATATCTGCATATTCTTCGTTAGAAAACTGCATGATTAATAAAACAACTAATCCAACAAAGCAACTTTTAAATTTGTAAACAATTTTTGTTGACCGTCACCAGGTGACAGTAAACTTACTTATTTCCAGGCTTACTGTACTTTATGAATTT